GTACTATGTCTTTTTTTTGTTTGCTTCCTGGTCTAACATGTGAGGTTATCTATTCAGTAATCCCATCTATAAAGGAAAAATTTAAATTTAAAAGTCTGGCTGGTATGGTGGCTCATGCCTATAATCCCAGCACTTTGGGAGGCCAAGGCAGGCAGATTGCTAGAGCTCAGAAGTTTGAAACCAGCCTGGGCAATGTAGCAAAACCACATCTGTACAAAGAATTAAAAAAATAATAATTGGTTGTGGTGATGTGCACCTGTAGTCCCAGCTACTTGGGAGGCTGAGGTGGGAGGATCACCTGAGCTTCAGAGTTAGAGGTTGTAGTAAGCGGAGTTTGAGCCACTGCACTCCAGCTTGGGTGACAGAGCCAGACCCTGTCTCAAAAAAGAAAAAAAAAAATCCAAATTATTTCATGACTAATGGATTCACATATTTATAAATGCTATTTGCGTTATGTATTTTTCATTTTGACTTCTAACACATTTCTCTTCTGCTTTTGTCCTTTTAGATAGAAGAGTGATGGATGTCATTTCTCGTTCACAGCTTTACTTGGATGATCTTTTTTCTGACTGCTTTGATAAACCTCTCAGCATGACTGATATTTCACTCAAAGAAGGGACCCATATCCGAGTTAACCTACTTAATCACAACATTCCCAAAGGGCCTTGCATACTCTGTGGAATGGGGAACTTCAAAAGGGAGACAGTTTATGGGTGCTTCCAGTGTTCTGTGGATGGTCAGAAGTATGTGAGACTTCATGCAGTTCCTTGTTTTGATATTTGGCACAAGAGGATGAAATAAAATGAAAAGTGAATATACCATGTTGGTGTTTTAGATGCAGTTGTGCCACAAACCTTCCCTAAATTATCTAGGTTTGCTTGGATAAGTTAAATTAAAATGAGAAAAGAAAAAAGAAATTAACCTGTCTGGGTATCATATTCTGTAGGGAATCCATGAGCCTGTCACATTGGTGCACCAGAATGTAGGGATTCATGAGCCCCACATTGGGCACCAGAATGCAGGGAGCCAGCCCTACATCACCCTTGGGTACCCCAAGGTCAGTGGCAACAAAGGAATGAGAAAGACAGATAAAGAGAAAAAGTGGGACCAGGGGGCCATCACTTTATTACTCTGGAGGTGACAGTAAAGGCCCCAAGCTCTGCTCATCCACACTATTTATTGATTACAATCGCTTTGATCTGTAGGGTGGGGTGGAATGATGGTGGGATGAATCAGTGAGCCTGAAGTGAATCAGTGAGCTGGAACTGGTGTATCATCCTAAGGATTGATGACAGTGGCAGTTTGGGAGTTTCGCAAAATAAGAACATGTGGTTATCTTTAACTTATTATTTATGTACAGCTGGCAGGATGTGGGCCTTACAAAGGGCCTACAAGTCTGGCTACGTCACAGTGCTATGAAGGGTTTTACGTCCTTGAGCACAGTGTTAATGGTAGCAGACCCGAGGTCACCCTGCACCAGAACATGAGGCATGGAGAGGCCTTCCTCCTCAGAGGCCTCCTGCGGCCTTCTGCAGTTTGTTGTTCCTTGTTTATCTGTTACTTATAACCAATTTATGTAAGCACTCTGTAAATCCTTTCTCCTTTGCAGTGTTTCCCAACAATATTCCCCATCTATAAAGCAGAGATGATGACAATAGTGTCTGTTTCTTAGGTCGTCATGAAAATTAATAACATTGTTTATATCAAAAAAATTTACATATAAAATTCAGAATAGAGATGTTCTTTCATAAACTTGCCAGTCACTTAATCATTTTTGGGATGTAGTCTATCATTTTAGATAACTTTTTATATAATTAAGAGATTTTTCTAAATATCAATTTTATTTTCAATCAACTTTCACTTCAACATATGATGGCAAGGGTGCACAAGTAGCAACTTTATGGTGCTTCAACTATTGCCTTTGGTCTGGTAAAATGAGAAAAATATGTTAATAATTTAAAGTAATCCTAAATGTTTAATTGCAGTATCAAATTGAAAGCACACTCAACTCAACATGGGGTTTTGTATACACAGTTAACAAGGTGACTGATAGTCGTAGTGGGCTGCTATTCTATGATATGTGTGCCCACGAGTTTTGTCTTCACAAAACTCACTACTGTCATTGTAAAGTTAAGGCAGATAAGACATGTCTGTTTCTTTGAAAATGTTTAAAGCATTTAACATATTCAGTTCTGAAAGATCTTTTTAATCTACTCTGTTAAGAAAAATGAATTTTTCATACACAACCTAAATTACTTACAATCTACCTTTATTAAAATAATTATAAAATGAATGTTAAAATTCTAGAACTCAAAATGTAGTCATGGCACTCAATGCCATATATATGCATATTGAGACATAAAGCAATCATGGAGATATGAAATACTTTACACTGTACTGTATGTAGAATGATTAGAAATTTATTTTTAATTATGTAAATAAAAGTTTTAGAATGAATCATCTCCCTGTTCATGTGGCATTATCTGTCATTTTTTAAAAACAAGTTTAAAAGCATTTTGTGTGAAAAATAATGGGACAAAAAGATTAGAATTATAAAGTTTAGATTATAAAGTGACTTATTAATATGGATACAGAGAATGGAGACAGGTTCCAAACCAAAATAAAGAATATTGAGTTACTTAGTTTACTTCAACAAAGCAGGTTTTCCTGAGGGAAGGCAATCAAAGAGTAAATAATTAAGCACATAAGAAAGTGTTAGAAAATTGAGCATAGAAATGAAGGAATATTGGGAGGAAGGAAAAGATAGTACAGATTTTTGTTTTATGAGGTGTCCAATTATGTGCTAGCCATATGTGTTATTTTCTAATCTCATCGTGGTTTTACACATATATATATTTTGGTTTTTTTGTACCTACTCATCTGAAAGCCCACTATTTTTAAATGGAATTTTTGATAGTGTAAAGGAGTTAAAAGATGAATAATGGTTTGGAAAGATCAAGTTTCAGAAGGTAGAAAAAACTTTACTTGTTTGGAACTCAATTATTTTGAACAGAGCTATTTACTGTCTGACCATACTTTCCTATACATGCAGGGCATTAGTCCATTTTCACACAGCTATAAAGAACTGCCCAAGACTTGGTAATTTGTGTTTTTTTTTTTTGTTGTTGTTTGTTTGTTTGTTTGTTTTTGAGATGGAGTTTTGCTCTTATTGCTCAGGCTGGAGTGCAATGGTTCGATCTCGGCTCACTGCAACCTCTGCCTCCTGGGTTCAAGCATTCTCTTGCTTCAGTCTCTTGAGTAGCTGGGATTACAGACTATGCCTGGCTAATTTTGTATTTTTAGTAGAGACAGAATTGCTCCATTTTGGTCAGGCTGGTCTTGAACTCCTGACCTTAGGTGATCTGCCCGCCTCAGCCTCTCAAAGTGAAGTGAGGGATTACAGGCATGAACCACCACGCCTGGCTTGCTAAGACTTGGTAATTTGTAAAGGAAAGAAGTTAAGGCCTCAGGAAACTTACAGTCATGGTGGAAGGCAGAAAAGCAAAGCACCTTCTTCAGAAGGTGGCAGGAGGGAGAATGAACGCAGGAGGACTATCAAACACTTATAAAAAACAAACAGATATCATGAGAACTCACTATCATGAGAACAGCACGGGGGGGAAACTGCCCCCATGATTCAATTACCTCCACCTGGTCTCTCCATTGACATGTGGGGATTATGGAAACTATCGGTATTATACAAGACGAGATTTGGGTGGAACACAAAGCCTAACCATATCATGCAGTATGCAAAATCTTCTATGTTCCAATAGACATGTGCCCCTTCTTTGGTACCAATATGATCTTCTACAGCGTCTCTTACATACTATCCTCAAGTCATACGACATCATAACTTGGCCATGACACAGAAATGCTAAGGCATTGTATATACTCATTTGTTTGGCACATTTATAAGCATTTGACAGCATACCAATTTGTAATGATCATTCCTCATTAATGAGAAGAATGATGGGAAATGAGGTGACATAAGGGAAGAGATACCTAGAGAAAGGGAATGGAAACTAAGAAATTCCATGGCATCAATTTAAAACTATCAAGACAAAAGCTTGGGGTGGCAGATTATCTTATAAAGGTTTTCAAGAGGGAAGAGGAGTTGCAAATTTATAATAATGTCTGAAGGAATACAAGATCCAGGCAGTAGATACTTTATGCTTGGTATAAGAGGCAAAATGTCTTTGGTTTGGTCAAATATCTTTAAACATTCTCCACTGGAAAATACCCAAGGCTAGAAGCTTACAAAAAGTACAGAGACTGTGTTGAGGTTCTTTATGGAACAGAGATATACAACTTTCTTCCTCCATATATACCAAACAAAGACTCTTTAGTTCTAGGATTTTTATTCCCTCTTCATAATGTTATAAAATGTATAAATAGGCCAGGCATGGTGGCTCACACCTGCAATCCCAGCACTTTGGCTGAGGCGGGTAGATCACCTGAAGTCAAGTGTTTTGAGACCAGCCTGACCAACATGGAGAGACCCCGTCTCTACTAAAAATATAACATTAGTCAGGCATGGTGGTGCATGCCTGTAATCCCAGCTACTTGGGAGGCTGAGGCAGGAGAATTGCTTGAACCTGGGAGGCAGAGGTTGTGGTGAGCCAAGATTGTGCAATCGCACTCCAACCCGGTCAACAAGAGCGAAACCCACCTCAAAATGAATATAAATAAATAAATAAATAAATAAATAAATAAATAAAATGTATAAACAAGTGAAATGCTACTTCCTGGGTCCTTACTGACTATTTTAAAAATATGAAGCACTTTAGCTTTTAAAATACATAAAACAATTGGATATAACATGTTTACACATGCTGGCAAGGTTAAAGTTGGGAAGAGCTTGCAGTTTCTGACATATTATACATGTTCTCCTACACCCTGAAGGGAAAAAATGCCCACTAGGACATAGGGGTCTGTTTCATGTTGCTATAATTCTTGTTTACAGAATAAAGCAATAGGAAACACAATCATACTATTCCTGCAAGTTTGCAAAAACAGCTTCACATTTATTATACCAAAATCATATGTATTGGGGGTATCAAAAGATCTCATAGGGGAAAAACAGAAAATACAACTTGGAGAAAAGTGACTTTGTTTCATACATAAAGTACAGTAAATAGCTGAAAAATCTAGAAATACAAATATGCTATAGTTCATCGTGTTGGTACACATTGTATTCCTTGGGTGAAATGAAGCCATCACCATCATGGTCATTCTTCTTAAAAATATCTTCTAAAACTGCATCCTGATATGACTTGTCACGTGGCTTCTTATCTTTTTCAAAATCCCTTTGCAAGTAGAGATTTATCTGGAAGGCCAAAATAACATTCCTTTAATTAAACGGTATCACAGTAAATTTCCAGTAGCTTTGAGGAATGTTTATAATAATGACACTCATATCCAAGATGACTTATAGTAAATGATGCAACATTTTGAAACCTATTTGAGGTTTTATTTTTCTTACTCTTTGAAGCAATGTTTTGGAGAGAAACAGGTCTTCAAATTAGTTTTCCTTGAGATGATAGATGGTTAGTGGTACATACTCAAAGATTGATATTTAAAATGAATTTTGTTGAAATTAAATGCTTTCTAATAATCCGTGCTGTTCATTTTATCAAAGGAAAATCACTCATGACTGCCATTAGTGAATGAAACCCAAACTGGCATTTCTGTAATCTCTAAAACTAATAAATATGTTGTATAATCAATAAAACCCAACCATGGGTTTAGAAATAAAATTTAGTGTTTTAAGTTTTTCTATGCTTCTATAGCTCTCCTCCAAGTCTACATAACTATATTAATCTCTCTAATATATCAAATAAAGAATGGAATCCTGAAGTATTCACTAATTCTCTATGTAATATAACATTTCTCTATGCAAACACACTTTAAAAATATTGTCCAGCCGGGCGTGTTAGCTCACTCCTGTAATCCTGGCATTTTGGGAGGTTGAGGCAGGCAGATCACCTGAGGCTGGGAGTTTGAGACCAGCTTGACTAACATGGAGAAACCCCATCTCTACTGAAAATACAAAATTAGCCAGGTGTGGTGGCATATGCTTGTAATCCCAGCTGCCTGATAAGCTGAGGCGGGAGATTCTCTTGAACCGGGAGGCGGAGGTTGTGGTGAGCTGAGATTGCGCCATTGCACTCCAGCCTGGGCAACAAGAGTGAAACTTTGTCTCAAAAAAAAAAAAAAATTAGCTGGGCACTGTGGCTGGCACTTGTAATCCCAGCTACTCAGGAGGCTGAGGCAGGAGAATTGCTTGAACCAGGAGGTGGAGTTTGCAGTGAGTTGAGATTGCAACACTGCACTCCAGACTGGGTGACAGAATGAAAAAAAAAAGCATTGGCCAATATAGTAGCCAATAGCCACATGTAATTAATAAGCACTTGAAATATGGCTAGATCATATTGAGATATGTTACTATAAATGTAAAATATATAACAGATTTTGAAGATTTCAGAAGTATATCTTATTGGAAACTTTTACATTGATCTCATAGTGAAATAGCAATATACTGGATATATTGAGTGAAGATATATCATTAAAATCAATTTCACTGATATCTTTTTACCTTTTAAGATGTGCCTATAAAAAATTTATAATTATATGTGTAACTAAATTATATTTCCATTGGAAAGCACTAATCCTTATAATAACTAAAGAACACAATGCACAATCATCTGGAGGTAATGTTTAGTAAGGCTGGCATTACAGAGGCAAGAGTATTTTTGAAAGCTAGACTTTGAGAGGTTTTTAGCAATACATATCTTAGGGTCAACCCATTGCAAGTAGATTTTTTTTTAGAGCAGTCAGTGGACCTTAATAAAGGATACACCAACTGTTCTCAAATGGGACTTCGGTCCTACATGAGCGAGACACATTTTTTTCTTCCAGCTGGAGCTTAGCAATCCTATGTGGTATAAATCATTTTCAATAGCTTCAAATATTTCTCAGTTTCTAAGTTAGTGAATTATTTTTTTCATTTCACTCGACTCCTTTTCCAGTATACTATACAACAGAGGTACAAAGAGACAGTTAAGAATGTGACCTTAATTTTGCTAGTAATGGATTCCACACTATTTATTAAATTCCACTTTTTAATTTAATAAAATACTGTATTTCTCCCTAAAAATTTCTACCTAAAATATTCAAGAAATATTTTTTCTTTTTTGTTGTTGTTTTGAGACTAAATCTGATTCTGTCACCCATTCTGGGTGACAGATTGCACCATGGCTGGAGTGCAATGGTGCAATCTCAGCTCACTGCAACCTCTGCCTCCCGGATTCAAGTGATTCAGCCTCAGTCTCCTGAGTAGCTGGGATTACAGGCACCCACCACTATGCACAGCTAATTTTTGTATTTTTAGTAGAGATGGGGTTTCACCATGTTGGTCAGGTTGGTCTCGAACTCCTGACCTCAGGTGATCCGCCTGCCTCAGCCTCCCAAAGTGCTGGGATTACAAGCGTGAGCTACTGCGCTCAGCCCCTTTTTCTTTTTTAAATGTTCCTTCCTGCACACTGATGAAATAGTTTACTTAATCTTTCTGTTAGGAATAAAGTTTTTTTTTTTTAAGTTCATGTTTCAAATTCAGCCTTTGCCTTAGATTTGCTGTGTGTTCTTGTGCAAATTAACCTCTCTGAACCTCAGTTTTGTCCTCTGTAAAAGGAGGTAAGTAAGTAGCTATATTTTAGGACTGACGTGAGGACTAGAATAATGATTATGGCTATCAATGAAAAATAGCTATTGTTATTCAAGTGAGTGAAAATCTTTCTCGTCCATCTGGCGATAAAGCAGCTGTTATCACACAGACAACTGGAAAAATTGTAGCTAAGTAGATTACTATTTTGGATTGTGTCTATTTTTATTTTCCAGAAAATAACTTAAGATCCTCTAATGTCTTACTGAGAAGTATTCATACTGCTTCCTGGCATGGGCAACAGAGCAAGACCCTGTCTCTGAGAAAAATTCAAAAAATTAAAATGTAAGAACACAGTCATGAAGCCAGATAGTCCAGGTTATAATCCTGGTTTTGCCCCTTACTACTACGATATTTTTGGCTAGCTAACCTGAGTGTCATTTTCCCCATTTACAAAGTGGAGATTATGACAATAGTCTCTACTCCATAAACTATCATGAAGATTTGATAAGTTCACATACCTATGTGCTTATAAGTAGTAACTGGTACTAAAAGTACAAAATAAAAGTTATCTATTATTACCTTTTGTTTTTTGGAGACAAGGTCTCAGTCTATCTTCCAGGCTGGAGTACAGTAGGGCCCAAGCGATCCTCCTACCTCAGCCTCCTGAGTAGCTGTGACTATAGGTATGCACCACCATGCCTGGCTAATTTTATTGAATTTTTTATAGAGATGGGGGTCTCCCTATATTGCCCCGGCTGGTCTTAAACTCCTGGGCTCAAGCAATCCTCCCACCTTGGCCTTCCAAAGTGTTGAGATTATAGGCATGAGCCATGCTCCCAGCACAATTATCGTTATTATTATAAGATCTTTATTACAAGACTGAGATACAGAAGCTAGCTGGCTAAACTCCTTGCTCCTGTTTACCAACTTTCTAGCTCACTCAATTCAGATCCTTGCTAGCTCTTTTCATAATCCCATGTCCTCCTCATAATCCTATGAGGTGTGAATTATTTGCCCTGTTACAAATTCTTACAGTGCTGCCTGAAAAAAAGATACGCTAGTGTAGTCTAGAAACTGGAAGAGCACTGTAGAGACAAATAATTCAAGATTTTAATGACTCTCTTGCAGGTAGAAAGGCAATTGAACAGGATGACTCACAAGGTTTATACTGAAAAAGCTTAGATTTTTTTTTTTTTTTTTTTTTTTTTTTTGGTGACCTGATCTATAAAAGCAGTGATCAGAGCCCATGTTAGCTAGACCTAAAAATAATAGTTGTAACACATATATTTAAACTGTGATTTAAAAAATTAGACTTTACACATGAAATTGGTTTGAATTACCTCGGCTTTAGAGAGTTGCCTGTCATTATCCATGTCTATCTGTTTAAATGTCTCAATGCTCCGTGGTCCTTTGGTCACAGCATAAAGTTCAATCTCAAAAATCAGTGTAGCGTCCGGAGGAATCTTGCCTTCTGCTAAGGGTATAAATTTCAACAGTTTAACTTACATGAAGATATGTTTCAAATATTTATTCATAAACTGCCATAACCATATTATATTATTTCATATTGATAAGAATTGCTATCTATTTAAAAATTTATTTTTTTCTCCTCTCTTTTATGACTTTTTTTTTTGCCTTTTCAATAGTTTTCTTTTTGTTTTTATTTTTTTATAAATACTTTTTTAGGAATATTTTTTTCCATATGTTTCTAAACCAAGTCAATTCAAAGGACCTATAGGACCATTATTTCTTGCTTAATTTAAGTATGAATCATAAAGTTTTTATTAATACATGGATAGGACTCTCCACATCTGTGGGTTCTGCATCTGTGGATTCACCAGTCTTGGCTTGAAAATATTCATACAAAAAAAGGAGAGTTGTGTCTGTAATAAACTTGTGCAGACTTTTTTCTTGTCATTATTTCCTAACCAAGATAATAACCTTTTATATAACATTTACATTGTATTAGATATTGTAAGTAACCTAGAGATAATTTAAAGTATATGGGAAGATGTGCAGAGGTTAAATGCAAATATGATGCCATTTTATATCAGGGGCTTGAGCTTCTGTGGATTTTGGAATCCATGAGAAGGTCTTGGAACCAATCTCTAACAGGTTCTAAGGGACAACCGTACTCTCCTATGGAGATGCATGGGCAGTCAAGTTTCAAAGCATAGATGAGTACTCTTCTAGAAAATGATTTTGTTTAGTTATTTGGAAGCATAAATAAAACATATGTATCAATATATTTGTCTTTCAAATTTTCTATAGAATTAAAAAATAAGTACAATGATAGAAAAATCCAGTAACAGGCCAGGCATGGTGGCTCGTGTGTGTAATCCCAGCATTTTGAGAGACTGAGACAGGAGGATCACTTGAGTTCAAGACCAACCTGGGCAACGTAGTGAGACCCCTGTCTCTATTAAAAAAAAAAAAAGAATTAAAAATAAGAGAAAAATTCAGTAACAATTTTACAACGAAATTTCTAATCACAATACACATTTTTAAGCATTAAGTTGAATACCTCTCTTTATTTTTATATTTTTATTTATTTATTTTTTTGAGATAGAGTCTCACTCTGTCTCCTAGGCTAGAGTACAGTGGTGCTATCTCTGCTCACTGCAGCCTCTGTCTCCCAGGTTCAAGCCATTCTCCTGCCTGAGCCTCCTGAGTAGCTAGAATTACAGGTGCATACCAGGCACTGTATTACTAGTAAGGACAGGGTTTGCCACATTGGCCAGGCTGGTGTTGGACTCCTAAGCTCAGGTGATCTGCTGCCTCGGCCTCCCAAAGTGGTAGGATTACAGATGTGAGCCACTGCACCTGGCCAGAATAGCTCTCTTTAATTAAGTTAAGCTATTAGCTGATGTCACAGATTTTTTTTTTGAGACACTAGTCTTCCTCTGTTGCCCAGGCTGGAGTGCAATGGTGTGATCTTGGCTTAATGTAACTTCTGCCTCCTGGGTTCAAGCATTTCTCCTGCCCCAGCCTCCCGAGTAGCTGAGATTACAGGTGCCTACCACCATGCCTGGCTAATAGTAGGGACAGGGTTTTACTTTTAAAAGGGATGGGGTTTAGTAGGGACGGGGTTTCACCACATTGGCCAGGCTGGTCTCAAACTCCTGACCTCAAATGATCCACCGGCTAGGCCTCCCAAAGTGCTGGGATTATAGGCATGAGCCACCGTGCCAGGCCATGATGTCACAGGCGGTTTTAGTAAGTTATGAGCTACTTTAGATAAACATTTCATAAAAATGACCTGCAGAAATGACTTGCTAAGGGGCAGCTGGTAGCTTGTGTCATCAGTATGTTGCCAGTGTCCCACACAGTGCCTGATGTGTTATAGGCAGTCCAATATTTGCCAAATGAATGACCCATATCACTTATTTTTAAAATGTTTGTGCTTGGAAGGAAACAGCAATTTCTTTAATAAAAAAGTGAAGCAATCTTGCTGAAGTCTTTAAATAGTCTAAAGAGAAAAGAGTTTGTGAGTTATAGCCAAAAAGAATAGCAGATTAGTAGTTTTCAAACAGAACATAGAAAGATTTACCCATGCATCATATGACTAATGTAAAAATACTCACCTAATGCACCATATATTACCTGACTTTAAAGTAGAATGCTAGAGATTGAGTCAATGATCATTTTATAAAATGACAATAGTTATTGTCAGTTACTCCTGACAATAGTTCAAGGCAAATTCAAAACACAAATTCAAATTTATTTATTTACTTTTTGGGACAGAATCTGCTCTGTTGCCCAGGCTTTAGTACAGTGGCACGATCTCGACTCACTGCAACCTCCACCTCCTGAGTTCAAGTGATTCTCCTGTCTCAGCCTTTCGAGTAGCTGGGAAATACAGGTGTGTACCACCACATCCAGCTATTTCTTGTATTTTTAGTAGATATGAGGTTTTCCACCTGCTTCGGCCTCCCAAAGTGCTAGGATTACAGGCGTGAGCCACTGCACCCAGCCCAAAATACAAATTCAAATTTCTTAAGAAAAAATATCATAGGTACATATGCAGTTTCTGAACAATTTTGCTGTAAACATAGAAAATATTGGCCAGGTGCAGTGGTTCACCCCTGCAATCCCAGCACTTTGGGAGGCTGAAATGGGTCAATCACCTGAGGCCAGGAGTTTAAGACCAGCCTGGCCAATATGGTAAAACCCTGTATCTACTAAAAATACAAAAACTAGCTGTGGCATGTGCCTGTCATCCCAGCTACTCAGAGGCTGAGGCAGAATTGCTTGAACCCAGGAGGTAGAGGCTGCAGTGAGCCAAGATTGCACCACTGCACTCCAGCCTGGACGACAGAGTGAGATTACGTCTCAGAAAAAAAAAAATATATATATATATATATATATGTATATGTATATATATATATACACATTTTAATATATATATTTTTAATATATATATATTACCAATTCTTTTTCTTGTAAATAACAAACTAAAGTATAAAAAAGAGAAAAATATGCATTTGCTACAGAGCTACTGATGTTTAGAAAAGCAGATCAAAGAAGTAGAAGTTAAGGTAAAGAACATATACATACCGCATATATTGTTATTTAAGCACTAAAAAGTCACATGCATTTCAAGACATGCGGGGGTGCTCTGTGACATGAGACAAGGATATATTGCCGAAGAAAGACTTCTTCAAGTAGAAGAAACACTTCTTCAAGTACTACCTAAAATAAAGTTACAGCTAATGTTAGGTCTTAATAAAAAATTACTTTTAAAAGTTACTTAATCAAGAATTTGTCTGTTAAACAGTTACTTAAGATCTACACTGCAACTTTTAAAATAATGTAATCTAAGGTATTGTAATGCAGGCAAGGCCAGTATTCACTATGGTCCAATTACCACACTTCCTGGGCTTCAGTTTCCTTACCTGTAAAATGAGGGTGCTGGTGGTATTACTAGTAACTTTATCACTTTGTTTGTTAGAGATACCTCCAATTGAATATGAACTTGTTTCATGTCAAACTTCTATATCTCTGCAGCAAGTTTCTGATTTATTAAGAGCTTAGGCAGCCTGGGTAGTCATTCATATCTAAGCATAAATTAGTTTATGCAAAGGATAAGCTAAGTAATCCTTTGCCTGATGGTAGTAAACGCTGCATGAGCACCTGATGATGACAGATGTGGTTGCTCTAGGAGAGGCGTCCCCAAACTTTTTACACAGGGGGCCAGTTCACTGTCCCTCAGACCGCTGGAGGGCCGCCACATACTGTGCTCCTCTCACTGACCACCAATGAAAGAGGTGCCCCTTCCTGAAGTGCGACGGGGGGCCGGATAAATGGCCTCAGGGGGCCGCATGCGTAGTTTGGGGACGCCTGCTCTAGAAGGGAGAGTGCGTGCTCTGGTGGTAGGCAGAATGTGGAGGCATCTGATGACACAACACAAGACAGAAAGGAAAACTTTGAAAATGAAGAAGAGACTGAAAGGCAAACTTTGCCTACGTCATTTTGCCTAGAAGTGGTCTCAACTTTTGACAACATTTTTAGCACAACTATTGCATTGAACTTAATTTATTTTCAATTTTCTTTCTCTTTTCCCCAGGTTCCTATACAAATAAAAACAGGATATATAAATTATGGTGCCATGGAAGCTATTCTGATGGGATCAAATTATTGGCAAAAAGCATTAAAAATAAAGCTGAAGTTATCTGGAAATTGTCTCTTTAGGAGTTTTAAGCCTGACTGGGTCCGACTTGCAGCACTGACCTCCCCCCAATCCAATGTGGGACACTAATGCCCCCATTTTGCTGGAAATAACTTTTTTTTAAAAGATACTTTAAGTTCTGGGGTACATGTGCAGATCGTGCAGGATTGTTACATAGGTATACACATGCCATGGTGGTTTGCTGCATCCATCCCCCCATCACCTACATTCGGTATTTCTCCTAATGAAATAACTCTTAATGACTAAGACAACTGCCTCAAACAAGGCATGCCACTTCCATATTTGGGAGCAATGTCAATATCTCATTTTGGAAAATTTAACTGTACTATTTCAAATAGGTGGAGTTAGCAGTGGCTCTAAATAGGATAAGGAGGCAGAGATTCTTTCCGTATAGCCTTCAAGCAGCAACCGGGAGCACGACCTAACTAAGCATGCAAGGTGCCTGTCAGGCTGCCCATCCTCCCTGCCTGCTTTAAAATTTTTCTTCTCTATTCTGCTACACTTAATTTTTGTAATTTAAAATTTTAATTTTGGAAAAATCAATACATGCACGATAAAAATTTCAAATGGTACAAAATGTTAGAGTGAAAAGAAATCTTCTCATCCTTGACCCAGAGGCCTCCTTCCCAGGAACACTTAATGTTATCAGATGACTGCATATTCTCCCAGATGTATTCTGTGTAGATAAATGCATATGTGAAACTCTTCCTCTAAAATACAAGCTTATAGAGGATTGGGAGTAGTGTCTACTTTGGCCACTGCTTTATGCCGAGTGCCTAGAACAAAGTCTGGCATGGATGTGCAATATATATCCCCAAAGTGGAATATAGTCTAGTTCACTTTTTTTTTTTTTTTTTGAAAGGGTCTTGCTCTGCTGCCCAGATTGGAGTGCAGTGGCAAGACAGATCACAGCTCACTGCAGCCTCAACCTCTCGGGCTCAAGGGATCCTCCCATCTCAGCACCCGGAGTAGCTGTGACCACAGGCAGATACCACCACTCCTGGCTAACTTTTTAATTTTTTGTAAAGATGGGATCTCCCTACACTGCCCAGGCTGCTTTCAGACTCCTGGGCTCAAGTGATCCTCCCACCTTAGCCTTTCAAAGTGCTGGGATTATATGCATGAAGCCACCATGCCTGGCCTCTACTTTATTTTTAACATATTAATAAGCTTAGCTCTATTTCATTCTTTTTACTGGCCGCACAGTACTTCATTGTATAGATATACTAAAATTTATTTAACTAATTTCCTATTGATGGATAGGCAGGTGGTTTCTCCAGCCTTTTGCTACCTTCTCCCCCCAAAATGCCTGCAGTGAATTTTCTTTTACATATACCTTTGTGCACATTTCTGGAAATGGAACTGGATAAGAAGATATGTTCATTTCCATATTTTTTTCTTGATGGAGTCTTGCTCTGTCGCTCAGGCTGGAGTGCAGTAGCCCAATCTCGGCTCACTGCAACTTCTGCCTCCCGGGTTCAAGGGATTCTTGTCTCAGCTTCCGGAGGAGCTGGGAGTACAGGTGCACTTCACCACACCCATCCAATGTTTCTATTTTTAGTAGAAACAAGGTTTCACCATGTTGGCCGGACTGCTCTTGAGCTCCCAACCTCAAGTGATCCGCCTACCTCAGCCTCCCAAAGTGCTGGGATTACAGGTGTGAGCCACCATGCCTGGCCTGTATTTTCACTTTTGATGACAATTGTTAGAGAGGTTGAATGATTTACATTCCCAGCAGTGGTGCTGGTTTTTCCATGCTTTTGCCAAGTTGTTTTTGTCTTTGGAAATCTAACGAGTGAAATATGGTGTCTCATTTTTGTTTTAACTTATCTTTAATTATAAAGAAAAGTAGGTATTCTCATACACTTAAAGGCCATTTGTAGTTTTTTGTTAGTGGGCTGCTTATTTATGAATTTGGCTCATTTCTAGGGATATATCCTTTTCATTATTGGTTAGTAAGTTTTCATACATGTTACAAGTATTTTCCCATTTATTTGCTTTATCTAGGTTTTCAGATCTTTTTGCTCTAGGATTTTTAAAAATAGGCAAGATACTGAACAAATAAGATCATTTCTTGCACATTTGAAAGCTTGTCCTGTATTGGGGTAATAGTGACTGACAGATTACTATATCTCAGATATTCCTTTTACAATGTGCCATTGCTGCCCTTTTACTCTAAGCCCACATGTTCTGATTTCTGAGTTTTACAAATTTAACTTGGGTACTGCTTACCTAAGGTCTGTGTTATAAACATATATGTAATAATAACATATGCTGAAAACAAATAAAAATGCCTAAGGTAGAGCTTATAGAATATATACAATCATCGTGATGTTGCCACAATGTAGAAGAAAGAACTCTGGCCAGAGATCTATATTCCAACGATGTCATGTTATGTTTAAAAGCAAAAAGAGGGGACTGGACTGAACTAGATATAGCTGAAGGTCATTGGGCTGTATAGTTCCTTATTTCATCTTTTTATTTTTATTTATTTTACTTTTTTGTTTTTAATTGTGGTAAAATATACATAACATAAAATTTACCATCACAACGATTTTCAAGTGTACTGTTCAGTAAGGTATGCTTACACTGCCATGCATCCAATCTCCAAAACTGAAACTCTATACCCATTGGTCAACACTTCCCGTTTTCCCTCTCACTTCAGCCTTTAGCAATCACCCTTCTACTTTGTCTCTACTAATTTGACTACTCTAGGTACCTCATATAAGTGGAATTATACAGTATTTGTCTTTTTGTGACTGGTTTATTTCATTTGGCATAATGTCCTTAAAGTTGATACATGTTGGTGCATGTCTCAAAATTTTCTTCCTTTTTAAGGCTGAGTAATATTCCACTTCATTTTATTTTATTTTTTTGTAGAGCAGGGTCTTGGTGTTGCTCATCCTGGTCCTGTCCTCAAGCGATCCTATCCACCTTGGCCTCTCAGAGTGTTGGGATTACAGGCATGAGCCACTGTGCCTGGCTTCCATATATGCATATATTCATTTTGTTTATTCATTCCTCTATCTGTGGACATGTGGGTTGCTTCTATCTTTTGGCTATTGTACATGGCTGCTATGAGCATAGCTGTACCAATATTTCTTTGAGACTGTGCTTTCAATTCTTTCAGACATATATACCCAGAAACCTATGAATTATTTTTTAAATATAACTCCAACAAGAAATTAAAATTAAACATCTTACCATAGCCTTCCTTTCCATATGCAAACGAAGGTGGTATAACTACTTTTCGCTTTTCTCCAGGGCACATATCCATCATAGCAATGTCTAGGCCTTTTATGACTTGCCCAACACCAAGAACAAACCATTTGGGATGGCCTTCATTTTGTGTCCGGCTATAATAAAAAACAATACTTAAGTAAACTGATTTCAAGAAATCAAACTTGAAAACACAGCTGGGCGTTTAAAACTGAAGTCCTCTCTAACCATCATTCCCATATGAGCACTCTTTCTAAATCCCTTAATGGGGTATTTGACTCAAACTTCCCTATAATCACCAGAAAGATGTATGATTTGCCCAAAGCTAATCATTAAGAGCCATCTCATTTTTAAAAATTGTTATCTTTAGAAAAACTATTCAACAGTTAACTTTTTTTTTTTTTTTTTTTTTTTTTTTTGAGACATTGTCTCACTCTGTCGCCAGGCTGGAGTGCAGTGATCTTGGCTCACCGCAATCTCTGCCTCCCGGGTTCAAGCAATTCTCCTGCCTCAGGCTCCCGAGTAGTTGGGACTACAGCGAACAACCATGCCCAGCTAATCTTGGTATTCAACAGTTAACCTTTTAATGGGTCTACAGCCCCTAACTAGCTGCGTGGCTTGTACAAAGAACTCATTTAACTTCTCTGAGTTTGTTGCAAAAAATGATGGGGCAGGTTTAGCTTTAAAAAGTCATTTTAGTAGTAATTTAAAATGGTATATTTTCTTACTAAATTCCAATAATATAATTTAGTATATTCTTATTAAATTCTAATATAATATTAAATTACAAAATTGTATAAATTCTTATTAAAATTCTCTTCTAAATGGATGGAACTATCTTTCCCAGTCCTATCTTTGGGTGAAGAAAAGGTTCTCCCTCTGAGTAATTAAATCAGAGTAGGCACCAGGTGGAATGGGGGAGCAGGGCCCACCAGAAGTCACCAGGGAGGTCATCGTTGTAGTCGCTTCTTGATAGTTAGAAAGTGGCCACGACCTATAGAAATTGTGCTTCTAAAGGCCAGAATTAAATCTCTTTATTCTATGTATTCCTCCGTAAAGACTCAATACTTACTGGCAAAGGAAAAATGTGACATCCTTACAGGCAGAACCTGGATTTAATTCTGGAGGTCCCAAGGGTAATGGTGGTGGTTGGTGTGTGTGTGTGTGGATGTATTGCATTTTTGATTTATTGGACCAACATTTTCAATACCTTTTAATCAGAAATATTCAGTTTGTTAAAGAACTACTGCCATGTAATGTGATTTTTTTCTATGAATAAAGGGCTCAACTTTAACTATTAAAAAGTAAAACCCCAACCAACCAACCAATGAGGCTTCTGCTTGGTGGAGGCAGGCAAGATTGTGTACGACTGGATGCAGGGGGAGCTCGCAGCATTTCCTACCTGCAGTAGAATTTCGAGCCGTCTTTAGCCAGGTAGCCGTCATAATGGGCATTTAGTAGGTCTCCCTTCTTGCTCGTCTTAGAGCAGTTTTCTGGACGATGCAAAACTTCTATTTTCACTTCTTCGGTGCTCCCCTCTATCTTTTGTCTCTGAGCAGTAAAAAGCCCCCACAGATAAAAGAAAACAATTAATCTAAATAAGAAATGCATGGTTTCCGGCATCAGCTCCAGCAGAACACCGCGCTCCCTCCCGCGTGTCACTCGCGCCCGGTGGCTGTACCGCGGCGAGCTCCGACGCGTGGCAGGCGTTGTCCGGCGTCACAAAGGGCCGGGGCGGGGCCACGGACGCGGCCCCGCCCCCTTCTCTCGCTGCGCGCTCAGCGCGGTTAACGCTGTTTCTAGGCCCTGGGGCTGGCTGGCCTCAGTCTGAGATCGCCCAGCATAGTCGTTGCGCTTCTTCTCGCTAAACCCGCATATTTTGCAGCCGGTTTCCTCAGGGTTGGGTGACAACGTTTGGATTTTCTAAAATGAAATTGGCATAAGACGAAATAAACAGCCTGGGATGTCGTAGAGTCAGAGAATATGGTTGTCATTTCTGGAAGAAAAAGGCTTCCTAGACCCTTAGGGAACGAACAAATACTAGGGTGAGGGAGAGGCATGATGGAAGAGGAGAGTAAAAAATAGGCTGGCGGTGGCTTTCTGGGTGCTTCTGGGGTGTCCTTGAAGCGCGTTCTCGGGTCGGAGTCTTGCATTCCGAGGTTTCAGGCTGATTGGCCAGACGCGACGAACCCGCGGTGCCGCAGCCCCTCCGCCTGGCTGCCGGCGCTCCCGAGAGCCGACCTCCACGATTCAGCGTCCGCCGCTGGCTTGCATTTCTTTCCCCCGCCACTCGGGGTCGCCCTCGATTCGAGGGTCTCTGGTAGCGCGGGAAAGGCTCTTTCGACTTTTTTGTACCAATCCCATGGGATACTTCATTTTACACATCAGTCAAGAAAACTTGAGTATTGGACGTTTTGTCCTAGTCTCACAGCTAATACGCAGCAGGGATTTGGCCAAATCTGTGACAACTCCACCCACCCCTATTTTAATATGAAAACCTTTAAAATACACAGAAAAGTTGAATATTTCAGTAAACACTCGTACACTCACCACTTAGAGCCTATCATGTAACTATATTCGATTTATTACATATCCATCCATCAAGTCACCTTATTTCCAAGTGAACACCCAAAGACTACCCAAACCAGAAAACCTGCAAAGGCCTTCTGATTCGCCTGGATTAGGTTCTGGGAGCAGAGCTGCTATGCTGCCTCAGTGATGCGAAGAAAAGCTGCAGCACCGAGACTGATTCATGCGCTTTGCTTGAAGTTTGCAAAGTTCCATAAACCTTTAAAATTACTGTAGATTATGCAAGATGACTATTGCGTCCAAGCAGGAGTTTTAAATATCACAAAAACTAGGGGAAAGTCCTCATTTCTAGAATAAAATCCCAAAGTCGAGTTCCATGTCTTATATTCTAAATAAAACTGTGGCTATCCAAGGTTAATGACGGCGTGATGACAGTTCCTTGGGGGCTATCGCTGTTCCTTGTGAGAGGACCCCGACTCCTGCACATTGCCTTCCTAGGAGATTTCAGTCCCCCTGAGTGTGAGGAAAATACGAAGCAAACAGAAATAAGAAGGCGTTTATTTATTTTTGAAGACGAAATAATCCGCCAAAGGACCTGAGGCTTAGTTACAGGAAAACCCGAGAGAACGAAGTGCCCGCGGGATGAGTGCGCGGGGAACTCCTCCTCGGGTGGGCCCGGGGGCTGCGCGCGCAGCGGAACTCGAAGGCCTCGGCCCCGGGGGCGGTCGGCCTGGGCCTTGGCAGCCAAGCGGAAGACTGGGGAGCCTCGGGGCCGTTGGCTACTGGCCCGAGGGAGGAGTAAGGCGGCCCTGATTGGGAGGCCGACGGTGCGACGCGCCGGACCGCCCTCCTCGCGCAGCCTTGAGCTAAGCGGCGAGGCCGCAGGCCGCGCCCGCTCCTTCAGCCCCGCCGCCGGGGAGGGGTTTCCCGGGACGATCCGGCCCCTTTCATCCAGGAAGTGAATGCGACGTCGGGGTCAATGAAAACAAACTGGGAGCCCGGGGGGAAGGCAGGCAGGCGAGGAGGAGGCAGCGCCGGGGCGCGTGAGGGAGCAGCCTAGCCGCGGAAGCGCGAGTAGGAAGCCGGTTGCGGTCGCATTTTTGCCGCTGCGGCGGCCAGCGCCGCCGAGGCTTACCCAGGGATGTCCAGGCCCGCGCCTCGCGGCCCGCGAGCTCCAAGCGGCAACCGCCGTCCCAGCCTCTAAGGGCCGCCACGTCCCGGCGGCGCGCGCGAGCAGGGGGCGGCTTCGTGCCTGCGGCTGGCGCCGGGGGAGAGGTACCGGGCGGGCCGGGAGGGGCTTCCCCGGGCCCCGCGCCTACCCAGTCACCGCGGCCGGCGCCGGGCCGAGAGGATGTGCGGTGTGGGGCTCTGAAGCATGGAGGGGGTTCTGTACAAGTGGACCAACTATCTCACAGGTATGTGGGCTCGCGCGGTGGGAGAAGCGGGGAGAGGCGGAGGGCTAGGACCGGCTTAAGCAGGAGGCTGTGGAGAGGGCGGGTCCGGGGCGCCTCTGCCTCTGCCTGGCCTCGCGGACCCTCAGAGTGAATTCACTCTACTCGATTCCGGGGCTTGTCGAGTCCTTCTGGCCGCTTCAGGGGAGTGTTTGAGACTGCGCAACTTCTAGTGGGTGGGGAGTGCACCTGCCTCTTCTTTGCTAGCGTAATAATACTAATCTTTGCCTTCTGTAGCCACTGGAACAATTCTCGCTCGCCCTACTTGTGTTGTTACGATCTCCGTCCTTATTCACACGTTGTATTCATACTTTAAGAACATTTTGTTAATAACCGAGTTGCGGAGTATTGGACTGGAATGGACCCTTTAAAATCAAGATTTGATTTTAAGAACTTTTTTTCTGGATTTCTTTTAATTTTCGTAACAACGTTTTATTTAAAAAGTTCTCTTGTTGAGGTTGTTCTAGCTTACCTAGCATGATTTTGGAAGCTGTCCCCAGATAATATTTTCTTAGGGATTGTCAGTGAAGTATCCTTACGTTTGGGAATTCTGTTAACGGTGTGAGAAATAGTGGAAGAAAGTGCCAGTACACAGAAGGGAAGCAGGCAAGTCACTTTCACCTTTGAAGTGGATTCGAAGGAAGAACTTTGAAGGTTTAAATGTTTTTGTACAAATGAGAGAACAGCAGGAAAGGGCCCCTTTCCGTGACATTGGCAGTCTGGCTTATTTAAAAGCTCCTTAAATTTGGGTTGTAGTCCAATCTCTGCCAGCAACCAACATTCAAGGCAAGTCAGTTATTCTTTCAGGAATTCAGTATGATAAGGCCATGTGATCTCACCAAATGACAGATTGGTTTTAAAATAAATTTGAACAGTAAACTTTTTGGGGGGTCTAGCATAATAGGCAAATCGTGACTTGCTGCCCACTTACTCTGCCAAAAGTATCGAATCCCTTAGTAATTGTTTGGTACTCTCAACTTGTGTCCACCTGATCTTGTGCAAAATGTGCACATAAACTTTTTAAGGCATAGGCACTGAGCTACAGTTACACCTGCTTTTTGATTTACTAGAATGCCAAAGCCAGATTTATAGCAGCAAAGGCTTTTAACATTCGTGATACACAGATGTTTTGTTTTGTTCAAACTAAAAAGTCAGTTTATTTCTATAAGTGACATATTTTAACAGGAAACATTTAAAAGTTAGACAAATATTTTTATTGGGCATTTTCATTTGGGTCATTGTGAGAGCAGGTATACTGTTTGGTTGAGGCCTAGTGTTAACTGTTAGAGACAGTATAGCGCTTCGCGCCAGTAATCTCAGCACTTTGGAAGACGGAGGCGGAAGGATTGCTTGAGCTCAAGACCAGCCTGGGCCACATAGGGACACGTGGTCTCTCCAAAAAAAAAATTAGCTTGGTGTGGTGGTGCACACCTGTAGTAGTCCTAGCTATTGAGGAGGCTGAGGCGAGAGTATTGCTTCAGCTGGAGAAATGGAAGCTGCAGTGAGCTAGGATTGGTGAGCTATGGTTGTACCCACACACTCCAACCTGGCTAACAGAGCAAGATCCTGTCTCAAAAAAAAAAAGACAGTAGCTTCTATTCTTTGAGATAAAATGGTCATCTCATTGCAAATGTTCCTAAGCACCATCTCATGGAGGTCATGTCAGAGAAATTATTGGGCCATTACTGAGATGAGTCATAATTTGAGAGTTGAGGTGAAACCTGGTTGTGGTTGCGATTTCCTCATCTCTTATGATATTAAATAACCAGTGGTTGAGCTTTTAACCACATGATTTAGATTTTAGTCTTTTCAGGGCATTTAGTTAACTTCTAGTATGCATGGTGGAAATGAAATCTTTGGTTGGGAAGAATTTCATTTTTAAAATTTAAATTTGGGTCGATGGCATGCTGATGATTAATTTTAGCTCATCTTAGGTCAAAAGGATGAGCAGCTGTTGATACTAAGTAATCTTTAAGTGTAATGATAGTGTTGGTTGGGCAGGTGGCTCATGCCTGTAGTCTCAGCACATTGGGAGGGTGAGACAGGCAGATAGCTTGAGATCAGGAGTTTTGAGTAGAAAGTAAGAGTTTCAAAAACATTGTGTAGTTTGAGATAAAAAGAATGTGTTTTTTTGAAAAGAATTTTAAAAGGGAATACCTGTGAATCTTTTCAACAGGTGTTACCCTCTGTTATGTAAGTGTGTGAGTCAATTAGAAATTGTTTTATTAAATATTTCTTCAAAAAGTATAATTAATAGGCTTGATTATGTTAGTATGTTCAACCACTCACTTTTCACGTTGCTGCAGATTCTAGATGAATCATTTTGCCCAATATTTGTTTTAAAGATATATTGAATTGCAGTACTACAGACTTGCAGAATCATAATTTGTCTTATAGGCACACTAGACCTGGGCAGAGGAGTGTGTTTTCACCACTTCCTGCTTATAATTTGTCAGGGTAAATTAGTGTTTGGAAAGATGTTTTTATCATTTCCGTGCATGATCAATACAATATACTCTCAAAGATATATTGTATGTCTGTATTCTCAGGGGTAATATGAAATATCTGCTGGGTGTGGTGGCCCACACCTACAATCCTAGCACTTTGGGAGGCCAAGGAGGCAGGATTACTTGAGTCCAGGAATTTGAGACCAGCCTAGACAATATGGCGAGACTTCGTCTCTATAAAAAATTGAAAAATAAGCCAGGCTTGGTGGCACTTCTGTAGTCCTAACTACTGAGAAGTCTGAGGTGGGAGGACCTTTTGAGCCTAGGAGGTCAAGACTACAGTGAGCCATTTTCATGCCACTGCACTTCAGCCTGGGCAGCAGAGCCAGACTCTGTCTCAAAGAAAAGAAAACAAAACAACAACAACAACAACAATCCCTGAAATATCTCACTTTTGGGGTATTTGTTCTTTCATTCATTTATTGAGTCACTTGAGAAATGTATTTTTTTGATACCTCTTATGTGCCAGGCACTGTTCTGTTTGCTGGGATGAACAAGATAAGGTCCATGTACCAAAGTAACTCACTTTCTAATTTGTTTGGGTCTCACTAGGGAATGCTCTGTTGTTTCATAAAAAGAAATTTTCCAGGAACCTGAAAGTTGCTGGCTTTTAGTTGTTAGATGTCTGTCTTTCTGAGCTGTATTACTGCATTTCTTGCCTTCCTAAACAAGGTTACAAAGTAAAATTTAATCTTTTATGATGACTCAGTGTTGTCATTTCAAAAGCGTTACAGATAAATCCTTTTAGGAAAATAAGCCCTGGATGTGTATTAAAGTCTAAGAATGATTGACCTATCTCCCCTTTCAGCACTATCTGACCCTGGAAAGATCAAATTAATCATGTGGCAGGCTATGGCAAAAGTGACCAGCATTTGAACACCCACAGTTTAAAATGTACATTTTACTCATGAACACTTGGGCTTCATTGTTATTTAATAGTCACAGAAGTAGCTAGGGCAGTCACACTGCCCCCAGCACAGTCACCAGGTTAGTAGTCAGTGAACTGTTGTAAATTAGTAGCATGCTTGATAAGACTCCAGGGAACACCAAGTTTGGCCTCAAAGAGGACTAGGAGTTGGGTACCAAGGAGAGCCGTCATCCTTGTCACCAGCTTTGCCATGGAGCCAAGTCTGTGATAGATGTGAACTCTAGTCGCTGAATAAATATCAGTTGAACAATTGCAGTTTCTAGCATTTCTGCCCTAGCTGTGCAGCTGCAGACAAGGGAAGAGAAGGTCGTATGGGGAATCTATGTTCTTAACCACAGGGTATGTAGCTTCTGTGTAAGAGACTGGAATTCATTTAGCACTCACTCTGTTTAAGAGAGTTTGCTTAGAAATATGTATTTTGTAAGAGGCACATTGCAGAATTAGAGAGCTAGATGGCACCTGAGAGGTCATCTTGTTCAACCTACACATTTTAGAGACTGGGAATTTTAGAGATTTATTGAAACGAAAAGATTTGCCCCCAGGGTATGGTTATCCAATTAAAGAATGATAGTAGAGGTGAGGCTAGACTCCCTGTTTTCTGTGTTTCCCCAACTCTGTTCCTTTTTAGGAAAAGAGGGCAGTTATGCTGTACCCAGTTTAGGGCTATTACTGAGGATGGGCCTTATGGGTTGTTAATGAGAACACTGTGAGCCAGAATTAGAAGTATTACTCCCTTTGTTTTTGCTGATCTGGAGATTTCTCCTGAAATCTCTCCCAATAAACTGGAGACTGTTGCAAAAACATTTTTGGTAAGGCTAGGTTGGTGATTAAAAATTTAATTGTGAGAATATCTTTCCAATTGACTTTTTGTTGTTTATGATCTTTTTAGGTTGGCAGCCTCGTTGGTTTGTTTTGGATAATGGAATCCTATCCTACTATGATTCACAGGATGATGTTTGCAAAGGGAGCAAAGGAAGCATAAAGATGGCAGTTTGTGAAATTAAAGGTAAGTGAATATATAGAATTAGAGGAATTGGAGGTTAAAATAGTCAAGGATTCTTGAGCATACTCCAAACAAGAGGAAAAACGCATTTCTAACCACGTAGGGATCTTCTAGTACCATTTATATCCTTAGCAGTTAAGAGTGGGCTTTCGTCACAGTTAACACAATTAAACATAGTTTTTCATAATTCTCCCTCTACACATGTGTTTTGAATGGAAATAACTTTTGCTAGTCTTCCAATTTGGACTTGACAGTTTCTTGTGGATACTACTTTAGTGTCCATCTTCAGTCTACAAGCGTTTTCTTTCATTCTTGTTGTAATTAATAGAAAGACATTGTGAAGGTTGGAAGCTGAACTCTAAAGATGGGGCCAGCTCTGTAGGGTTTTGATAAAGTATGAAGTCGGAGTCATAAACTCTGGGTATTTGCTGAATTTGGAGGTAAGTTCTGGATGGTAGAAATTTTTTTTTGTTTGTTTCCTTCCTTCCAAAAGAGGAGAAATAAAGCGATAGATCCTGCTGTAATTTTCATGAAGGAAGATTTTTATGGACTATCAATTCATTTGTGTGTGTGTTTGGGGTGAGTGTGGTGGAAGCAGGTAGAGTGAAATCATTAATAAAATAGTGAAAAGTACTGAATTATTCAAAAAGAATGAAGGAAAAACTAGAGCACCAGGGGAGTGACTGTTAACTCCCTCCTGGTTGTTTTTCATTTCTCCACTCTAGCTTGAATACGTGTCCTTAATGAAGTGTGTTTCCTTTCACATGGTGAGCTCTGGGTCATAGCTATTAAATACCCTAGCGACATCTTATTGAGGTATGCATTTTCTTGTTTAGATTAAACCATAGCAGCAGCCAATGTATTGTTCTGCATTTCCAGGGCTGGATGGCTTCTTTCATGTAATTTTGCAGTAGTTCTTAGTAACATTTAGCCATGGAGACAAAAGGTAATTTCTGCTTTGGGTGCATATTCTTTGGCTACACAGCTAGCTTTTCATCTTCACCTCAGATTCGCCAACATTAGGGATCTTTCTGCAGCAGCAATACTCTGCATAGGGTAGATCAGTGTCATCCAGGGAGCTTTCTCCAAACTTCACATGTCTGCCAGGTGATTATGGCATGTGCCCTTTAGTTGAGAATTACTGCCGTTTTAATGGAAGGGAGTTATGGTTATATAAGATATAGGAGCACTTTTGCCTTGTGTATTGTTACTTGTGTGTTCTCTAAAATATTTGGGGTATCATTTTGTTGTTTATTTTTAATAAATGTACTGAAATGTGTATCAAAAACTGTTGGGTTTTAGTATACTCATTTTTAACTAAAGGTCATCACCCATAATGTTTCAGAACTTCTCTTTTGGAATTACTTATGAACAGTTTATAAATCATTTAGGAAAAACTCATTCAAAGCATTGGTTTTTATTTTTTTAAAAAAGTATTAATAGCTTTATCTTATTCTCAGATTTGATTCCAAATGAGATTAAATCAGAAATCCAAACTACATTCAGAGTTCAAAGATTTGCCAACTTTGAGGATATTTAAAAAGCTGCAGAATTCTAAGACAATTCCAAAATGGTTTCAAGGCATGGGAGCAATCTTTTTTGTTGCTGGTTAACATTATAACTTTATTAAAGAATAACATACAGGAAATGATACAAATATTAAATAATGTTCAGGTTGAAGAATGTTCACAAAGTGAAAACACCTGGGTAACTACTGCCTAGCTCCAGAATTAGAATATTGATATCAGCATCTCAGAAGCCCCCACCCCCACCCAGTCCCCTTAGCCACTAATCTTCCTGAAAGGTAGCTATTAATTTGACTTTAATTGCCGTACATAAGTCTTGTCTACTTTTGAACATTTTATAAATGGAATAATCCAGTATTTTCTTTCGTGTCTGGCTTTTTTTGCTAAACATCATGTTAGTGAAATTTATGTATGTTGTTCTATGTAACAGTAGTTCAGTCATTCTCATTATATAGTGTTCCATTATGTGACTATCTCACGATTTTGGTATCCATCCTAGCACTGACGGATTTTTGGGTTACTTCCATTTTGGGACTACAGTGACTAAAGCTGCCATAAACATTCTTACACATTTATTGAACATATGTGTGCATTTCTTTGTAGTCTATCTCTAGAAGTGGAGTGGAATGCTAAGGCATTGAATATTCATACATTCAGCTTTAATAGATGTTAAAGAAAAAAGTGTTCTTGAAACTTGTTGAACTGGTATGTCAGACTTTATTTCGGACTGTTTGATAGATATAGGGACTATTGCGTTGGAGGAGAGAGATCGGAATCAACTTCCAAGTACAAGGAAAAGTGGGAATTTATAGCCAAGGAGCAGGGTTAGTGGGAGAGGGTGTCAGTGGAGGGAAAGTTACTAAGAGGTAAGTGGGGATTCTGGCTAAACTGATCTAACAGGATTCTTGCTGAAGGCAGGTTGAGGCCAGGGTGATCAGACATTGCTGGAAGATTGTAGGGAATGAAAAATGTGGTCCGATATCAGGGGAGGGTGATGAAATATTTTGTTAGGAGATTCTGGCTAAATTGACTTAGTAGCATTCTTGCTAAAACTGGATTCTACAAGGATGAAGAAGGAAGCCTAGGTGAGTATAGGGCTCAAATGAAGCTGACTAAAATTTGGTCAAGAAGAGAATCTTTTTCTTTTTTTTTGAGACAGAGTCTCACTCTGCTGCTCAGGCTGGAATGCAGTGATGTGATAATGGCTCACTGCAGCCTCAACCTCCTGGACTCAGGTGATCCTCCTATCTCAGCCTCCTGAGTAGCTGGGACCAGAGGGAAACGTCACTATGCCCAGCTAATTTTTGTGTTTTTTTGTAGCTACAGGGTTTCACCTTGTTGCAAAAACCAGACCGCTTTTGAACTCCTGAGCTTAAGCAGTCTGCCCGCTTCAGCCTCCCACAGTGTTGGGATTACTTGCATTAGCCACTGTGCCTGGCCAAGAATCTTTTTCACAGATGATGCCAGATGTTTTCCAAAGTGATTATATTAATTTTTTCTGTAACTGATCTGAGTATTAGAGTTCCAGTTGGTCTGCATCTTTGCCAAAACTTGGTATTATATCCATTTTAAAAATTTGGAATATTTCTGGTGTTTATAGTGGAATCTCGTGGATTTTAACTTGCATTTCCTCAATCACTAATGATGTTGAGTACTTTTTTAGATCTTAGCCATTTGGATGTCCTCTTGTCGGGCATGTTAGCTCATGTCTATGATCCTAGCAGTTTGAGAGGCTAAGGCAGGCAGATTGCTTGCGCTCAGGAGTTCGAGACCAGCCTGGGCAACAAAATGAGATTCCTGACTCCACAAAAAGAAAAAGTTTGAATGTTCTCTTCTTTTGAAGTCCTTTTTCAAGTCTTTGGCCCATTTTCCAACTTTGACTATGTTTCATGTTGATTTGTAGGAGTTTTTTTGTATAGTCTGGATGAATCTTTGTATTGCACATGTTTTCTTCCGCTCTGTAGTTTCTGTTTTCATTTTGTTAGTGATACCTTTTGAGGAACAGAAGTTCTTAATTTCAGTGAAGTCTAATTTGTTAATTTCTTTTATTATATCATTTTATGACTCACTGAAGACATCTTCTGTGTTACTTTCTTGAATGCTTATTGTTTTACGTTTTATATTTAGGTCTGTATTAGGTCTGTACTTGATTTAATAGCAACCATTCCCCCACTGCACCATGGGAATAGCTTTGTCACAAAGCAAGTGACCATGTATGTGTGGGTCTTTGTCTGGACTGTCTTTTCTGTTCTGTGGCCCTATTTTTTTTTCTTTTTTATAATCCCTGTGCCAATATCACATTGTCTTAATTTCTTTAGCTTTATTCTCTTTGTATCTGATAGCCAAAGTCTCATAATTTTGTTCTTTTTTAGTATTGTCTTGGCTATTGTTAGCCCTATGCATTTCCTTAGACATTTTAGAATCTGCTTATAAATTTCCACATCTGTCTGCTGGAATGTTTGGAATTGTGTTGAATCTACAGATCAATTTGAGAATTATATTCTTGATGATATTGACTCTTCTGTTCCATTAACTCTGTTTAATTAGGTATTTAATTTCTCTCAGTAATGTATTGTAGTTTTGTGTTTAGAGGTCTTGTCCATCTTTTTTTTTTGTCCTTCATGTTTTTGGAAGCATCATTTTTAAGTTTGTTGCCTTTTCAGGTGACAACTTTGGAGGGGACCACCCTTGATTGGATACATAAATTCTGGTATGTTTAAAAATGACTCATATTATTTTAGTTTCATCTTGTAGTAACATCATTAGAAATTAGAGCATTGCTTTCTTTTTAAGTAACTATTGGTGTTTTCACTAGTATTGGCAATTAGTAAGGAAGAGTTACTCTTACAGCTTTAGGATTTCAGTAGTTTTATCCTAGCCTAGAAATCTTTTGCACTCATAATTGATTGTTGCATGGTTGTATGTTTCAGTGACATCTAAGAATGGCCCATGTAAGTAGAATAATAAGATAGCAAAGCTTCTGTGGTACTTACTTACCATAGTACACTAAGTATCTGGTCAATATTTATAGCAATTAATTACTTAAGTTGGGGCTTCTGCCAGACTTTGCTGGGCCCCTCATAATTTGGCTCCTCCTAGCTTGTCCATTCATGAATATGTTTTTTTTTTTCTTTTCTTTTTTTTTTTTTAGAGACAGGGTTTCACTCTATCACTCAGTCTGAAGTGCAGTAGTGAGATTGTAGCTCACGGCAGCCTGTACTCCTGGGCTCGAGCGATCCTCTTGCCTCAGCCTTCTGGTTTCCAAATTGTTGGGTCTACAGGTACTGGGAGTACATGCTTGCACCACTGTGCTGGCCAAACGAATATGAATATTACTTTGCAATACAATGGAAGCCTCCATTTATGCTTGTTTCCTAATGTTCTCAGTACATTCTACATTTGTTTTCTCATTTAACTTTTTTCTCATTTATTTTCTTAACTAAATCCTGCTCTCTTCAAATTCTTTTTCTTGAAGCATTTTTAATTTCCTGTCTTAAATTACTTTCTCTCATAATTACACAAGAAATCTGTGTACAAAAGAGTTAAACATTTATGTATTCTGATTGTTTTTGGTGTGTCAGTTTGTTTCTTGGTTAAATTGTCAACTATGTAGAAGCAAAGACATCTTTGTTTCTTCCCCTCTGTCTTCCCTTTTACTAGCACTGCTCTGAGATGAATAAATAATTATTGATGAATGACAGCTTAACACAAATTTTGTTTTACAAGAAAGACTTGGGATTGGTGCATTATAATTCCTGATTAGTTCTCTTTTCTCAGAGCATCAAAGGAGGTGTGTGTGTAGGAAAAGAGGTGGAAAGAGGGAAAGAGGTGAATGTCTTCAAAATATACGTGCCTTCCATGTGTTATGCTATGATCCATAATTAAGGGCATATCATAGAGTTAATTTTCTGATAGAAGGTGGCTGTAGTTGTCATTTATTACATTCCTTCTATATGTTGGGCACTATTCTAGTCTTGGGGGATATGAAAACAAAGACTTTGCTTTCAAGGAAATAAGTAAAAAATATATGATAGTGTAACATTCACTGCAGTTGTATTTAATAGGATAAGTGGCCCCAAGGTGGCGGGGGTTGGGGGTGGTATCTCACTTCTCAATAGTTAGTATGTCCCTGTTTTCTGTTTCATACTCTGTCATTGCTTTAGCACCATTGTCACCATGGGTCTATGTGAGAATGTTGATTTGGAAGGTACCACTGGGTGGCGCCTTAGGGAGCAGCCCTGCCTGAATCATGAATGATAGTTTGTTGTTTTAGGTATATGAAGCATCTGATACCATGTGATTAGATGATTATTTGATTCTCCTTAAATTACTTAACTCTATAACTGCATTTCCCCTTTGTTTATCATCATAGTTCATTCAGCAGACAACACAAGAATGGAATTAATCATTCCTGGAGAGCAGCATTTCTACATGAAGGCAGTGAATGCAGCTGAAAGACAGAGGTGGTTGGTTGCTCTGGGGAGCTCCAAAGCATGTTTGACTGATACAAGGACTAAAAAAGAAAAAGGTAACTATAAACTTTTCCTTTGTGACAAGAGTACTTCCTTAAATATAAATATAAATTATGAATTAGCCTGTCCACTTTTAGTATCAATCCCAAGGAAATAATTAGAAATGTATATTTACATATATCTTTATCATAGTAAACATTTTGTAAAAGCTATAAATTTAGGGGAATAGTTTAATAAACTCGTGCTTGCTTTTTTTTTTTTTTTTTTTTTTTTTTGGATACATAGTCTTGCTCTGTTGCCCAGGCTGCAGGCTGGAGTGCAATGGTGTGATCTTGGCTCACTGCAACCTCCACCTCCCATGTTCAAGTGCTTCTCCTGCCTCAGCTTCCCGAGCAGCTGGGATTACAGGCAGCTGCCACCATGCCTGGCTAATTTTTATATTTTTAGTAGAGACAAGAGTTTCACCATGCTGGCCAGGCTGGTCTCAAACTCCTGACCTCAGGCAATCCACCTGCCTTGGCTTCCCAAAGTATTGGGATTACAGGCATGAGCCACTGCACCCGGCCTAAACTCATGCTTTCATTGGCTGATATGTATTCAGTAAGATGTTTAAAAGAGGTTTTAATGTGAGAAAATGCCCAAGGTTAAATGATCATTGAAATGCAGGATTCAGAATTATGTATAGTGTTAGAATTCATTGGCTGTCTTAGGAAAGGTGTGTAAAAATTGGTCAGATTTGGAAGTGGAATTTGTGGGAAGGAGACTCACTTGTCACTATATACTAAAAAAGATTTTTAGAAATTGAAAGCAAAGCAAATGATTTATGTTATTAGTTCAGCTGTATGCAGATATAATGTGAAAATGATAATTTCTTGATAGTGAGATTATAGTTTGTTTTACTTCATTTTCTGTTGCTTTGACACATTACTTGAGATGTGTAATTTATAAAGAAAAGAGGTATGACTCATGGCTCTAGAGGCTGGAAGTTCAAGATTGAGTAGCTGTTTCTAGTTGGCTTCTGGTGAGGGCCTCACGCTGCATCATATCTTGGTGGAGGAAGCAAGGGAATGCAGACATGTGCAGAAAGACCAAACACAAAAGGCAGCCTCTATATGTAATAACCCACTCTCACAGTGACTGATCTAGTCCCAGGAGGTTGAGAACTCACTCACTCCTTTGAAGAAGGTATGAATCCCCTTTAATGACCTCTTAGAGGTACTACTTCCCTAACTGCCACACTGGAGGCCCAGCTTCAACATGAGTTTTACTGAGAACAAACCATATTCAAACCTTAGTACAGTTGTTTGATTTTTCTTTTCTATATTTTTTCTATTTCAAAATTTTTTATTAAGTATGCATTACTTTTATAATTAAAAAATACAATTCAATTACATTGGTGGACTCAAGTAAATTATAAGTATTGAGAAATGGAGGCAGAGGATTAAATTTATAATAATTTTGAAATATGTGAAAACATTACAGAATATGGCTACAGGTAGGATAAGAAGAAATGGATATTTACAATAGCTAAAGGGTGGAAATAACCCAAATGTTCATTGGGAGATGAATGAGTAAACAAATGTGGTAAATATATACAATAGAATATTACTCAGCCTTAAAAAGGAAGGAAATTATGACACATACTACAGTGTGAATGAACCCTATAGACATTATAATGAGTGAAATAAGCTAATCACAGAAGGACATATAGTCTATGATTCCACTTAGATGAAACACCCAGGACAGTCAAACTTATACAGACAGAAAATAGAATGTTGGTTCCCAGGGCCCAGGGGGAGGTAGGAATAGGGTTAGTATTGGGTGGGTACAGAGCTTTAGTTGGGGAAGATGAAGACGTTCTGGAGATGGATGGTGGTGATGCTTTTACAAATACAAATGTGCTTAATGCCACATTTTGAAGTGAAAAATTAAAAGTGATTAAAATAGGAAATTTTATGTTTATGTGTATTTTACCACAATTAAAAAAAAATGAGTGTAAGTGTGAGCAGGAATTTATTTAGGTTAGATTAAATGAGCAGATAGAGCTGCTTTGTCCACTCTGGTGAAAGTGGCTTTGTGGCTAGGACCAGAGAGCAAGGCCACTGGGACCTGGCCCGGGGAGTATGGAGAAGCACCAGAAATTTACTCTATGAATTTTCTTCGTCTGTAGCTTATAATTCGAGTTTAATACGTATTGGCTTGTGAGTGGTTGAGATTATGGCTGGATGTTTAGTTTGTCCGGAGATGCTAAGGGAGTAAGTATGCTCTTAATAAAAAAATTTGAAAATAGTATAATGTGAAAATGAAACTGAAAGGAACAGAAGAAAATAAATGAATATTTATATACAGTAGTTTTAATTACATAAAAATTTAAAACTTCTGTGTGCCAAAATAGATTAAAGAAAACTGAAAGAGAGCTAATAGACCTGGAAAAGGTACTTGCAGTATGTAAGATAGAGGAAAGATTACTGTCTTTAATTTATAAGAACTGTTACAAACTATCATTTTATATTCTTAAGAGAAAAACCAACATCAGAGCTGGAAAAAATATATAAAGGACAAAAAATAAAAAACGACTCACAAAAGAAAACCGAGCACTTTTTAAATAGAAGATGAGTAATAGAATGGAAATATCCTGTATAAAACATCCAGTGACCCTGTCTCTGGAAATTACCTAAACATAGCAGGCATATAACTGTCAGCATTTTCTCAATTTTCTAAAGAGAAGATGTTTCCTTGGGGCTCTTGTGATCTTATTCCCAAGGTCTCACATTTCTTGAGCTATAGGTATTTATATTCATTGTCTTTTTAAATGATTACATTTTGTTATATTGCCCAAAGAATATGAAAATGATCTAACTGGATATTTATATATGTTCTTTTCAGAAATAAGTGAAACTAGTGAATCGCTGAAAACCAAAATGTCTGAACTTCGCCTCTACTGTGACCTCCTAATGCAGCAAGTTCATACGATACAGGAATTTGTTCACCATGATGAGACTCATTCATCTCCTAGTGTAGAGGTAGAGCAAAGAGGATCTCTTTATGTGTGGTTATGCTTTGGAGTACTCTGGGGGGATCCTCAGTCATCCCATAAGATGATGGACAGGCATTTTCACATTGAAGTATTTTCAGCTTTTCTGGGCTCTGCTTACTGTGGGCTATCTGGAAATCTGCAGCATCTTCTCGGTTGTGTCTGTGTGACTAGAGAAGAAATGAAGGAGTATATTTCTCTAGGGATCAAGGCTTGTCTTTTTAGCCACTCTGATAATTTGGAGGTTGGAGTTGGGAAGAAGCATTCTAGGCTTTGTTCTCCAGGCTAATAGTGTAAATTCACTTAACAGCTGCTATTCTCTTTCTTTTGGTAATAAGGTCCCTGCTTCAACTATGAGAGTTGATAACTTATCTTTCTGAAGTAACTTAAATCCTTCTCAGAACAGTGACTTAGGAATCAAAACTCAGATTAGTAGGATCTGGCTAAAATAGGCTCATTCTTTCTGATAAAATCGTACCAGTGAGCTGTACCACTTTCTAGGTGAAAGGCCAGCATGTTGCCGTTACTCTTTGCTTAACGTGGTAGAAGTGGGACAAGGAATCTTTCTACTTCTCTTGTGGCCTTTTCCTGTTGGGGAGGAATCTTGTGTAAGAAGCCCAAGGACATTTAACTGTTTAACCACAAACTCCCTGGAGGTCGGTGCTCTCGCACTTGCTATAGCAGCTTAGCGACAGTATTAGGGATCCAGGCTTGTTCCATCCTTCTACTCTGCCATTCTTGGTGTGTCGAGTTTATCTCCTACTGCCCCCACATGTCAAGATGACTGTCAAGCTAACAAAGAGACCAGAGGCAGTGGGGTTGCCAATGTGGAGAGAGACCGTCTCAACTTGCTGTGCATTGTTTTGAATCAGGGAACAAAAATCCCAGAAATTCCCCAGCAGACTTCTCATCTTTTTTTTTTTTTTTTTTCCCTGGCTCAAAAAGAAACTAGGAAAAAAATGAGCATTTGGTAAAGAGTCTTGCAATAGCCATGTCTAGCTTAGATCATTCTGTATTCATACCCCAGGGTCAGAGGGTACTGAACAAAATTGGGGTTTTCAGTCTATCAAGGAAGAAGTGGGAGAATAGATATAGGGTAGATATGAATCATACTGCCACTAAGTAACTCTAAGGGTATTCCATGTCTGTGACCGCTTTTGGGAAAATGAAACTTAACTGTTTAGGTTAGATTTCTCTAAGATAAATTTTTGCACACAGTTTTTCAATATGATAATTAAATGCAAAACTTATTTTTTCTTGAAATCTAGTTTCATACATTGTTTACCTAAGAGACAGGCATTTCTTATTCATGCATTATTTTAATTTTCTTGTTTGCTTTTTTTTTGGCCCAGCTTAATATTCTAAGGTACTGGATTTTAAATAAATCTGAATATAACATAGTAATGTTTCTGTTGGAGATAATGTCTTATCGTTTAATTATAAAGTTGTGTATGTTTCCATGTAGTTGTGTGCAAATCTGTTCAAGTCTTTCTGTAATTTTTCAGAACATGAATGAAGCCTCTTCTCTGCTTAGTGCCACATGTAACACGTTCATCACAACACTTGAGGAATGTGTGAAGATAGCCAATGCCAAGTTTAAACCTGAGATGTTTCAGTTGCCCCATCCGGATCCCTTAGTTTCTCCTGTGTCACCTTCTCCTGTTCAAATGGTTTGAACTTCTTGTTTTGTTTTCTTCTATAGTAATGTTGCATGTGGTTTTTGTTTCTTTTTGGTATTTATTTTTAAGGGTGAAAAAAGGTGGTTTGGGGGGAAACAGCCAACAAGTTCAAATTTTTTGTTTGTACTGTTTTGTATTAGAGCTTCTCAGCTGATGAGCTCAGCACTTGTGCCAATGTCCTCACCCACCTTGGAGGGGCTGTGCATGGCCTGCCCACAGCCTTCTTCATCCATATTCCCCAGTGTCTAGGAAAATATTATAAAGTGCTGTGATACAGAAAAGGTTGGGAAGCTCTGTTCTGCTTGGTAAGAATTATACAACAGAATGAGGTTTTGCTCACAAAGGGGTACAATTAATTAAATCTTTAAGGGACTTAGAAGGAATTTGAAACATGATCCAGTGAGAAAAGTATTTTGTACTCAGCATTTGGATCTGAACCCTCAGAGTAGCTGATCTTCAGTTTCTTCATGTGTAAAAATGCAGTGTTTATCCGTCACTGCAAACGACCTGACCTGCTGCTCAGTGTTAGTTTCTGACCTCCTCGTTACTCTGAACAACAGGTCCTCTTTTTGCCCAGGGTGGTAGATTTGTTGTCCTTTCTGAGCTTATAAACTTGCTCTAGCATGCTGTGAGAAACTTGTAGGTAAGATAAGCTTTAATGAGACTTTAAATTTATTTCATGAAAGTGTTTTTAGGAGTCCATTTATAGGAGTAAGAATGCCACCTTGTTGCTGTTTTAGCAATTACCTGAAGATGGATTTGTTAGGAGAATAGGGTCTAACTTACTCCTAGGTTCTCTTACCTATCCCAGCAAATTTGGTTATATGAGATTTAGTGAAGATTATTGCCTAGATTTATTTAGAGAATTGTTTTCTAATCAGTATTTGTTGGCTAATAGTTTTCTCTGAGACAAGTATACTATGAAAATGAGTTTTATGGTCAGATTAATTTGGGAATTGCTAGGATAACTTAAATGAATTGGGTTTCTTTAATCTGATAAGGACAGTTTGATCAGTTTGATAGGACTTGTCACAGCCTTTTTTTGTTGTTTTTTTGTTTCTTTTGAAAGACAGGGTTTCACTCTGTCACTCAAGCTGGAGTGCAGTGACACCATGATATCTCACTGCAGCCTCAAGCCCCCAAGTTTAAGTGATCCTCCCACCTCAGCCTCCTGAGTACCTGGGACTATAGGCACATGCCTACTAAGCCTGGCTACGTTTTTAAAATTTATTATTTGTAGAGATGGGGTCTCAATTTTGTTGCCCACTCTGATCTCAAACTCCTGGCTTCAAGCTAAGTTTTAAAATTTATTTTTTGTAGAGATGAGGTCTCATTTTGTTGCCCAGGCTGGTCTTAAACTCCTGGCTTCAAGCAATCCTGCTTCAGCCTCCCAAAGTGTTGGGATTATGGCGTGAGCCACCATGCCTGGCTGTCACTATGCTGAAGTGTATTATATGTCTCTGAGAGGTGGAGGTGTAGTGTATAGTGTTTTCTGAAATTTATTTGACAATTGATCCCATTATATATATATTTTTGATAACATCTTCCAGGACTGTGGTGTTGAGTAGAACACAGTTTGACAATGTTGCTTTTTAGGACAATTGTAGATATGCTATAAACTGTTAAATAACATGTGTATGTGAACAAAGAAACTGGCCCTTTGAGATGGATGTATAGTGCTGTGTTCCTGAGGTTGGTATACAAGGGGTACACTTTTTTTTTAAAGGTGTACTTTCTGGAGTCAAATGCAGTAAAACACCTCAGAGCTGCCTTGCTTCTGCATTGAACTTCTCAGGAAATGCCTTATGTTACAAATGCTCCGTAGCCCAGAAATGCCTTGTGTTACAAATGCTCTGTAGCCCAGAGAAGTCATATTTGTATTTCACATATAAGAAACTAAAATAATTGTCTTTCTAAAGCTAAAACCTTCAGTAGAAAAATTACAGGAAATCTAATACATTAATTTAGGAAATATTAGGTTAGAAGCTGCTGATTTTTCCTAGCTATACCATTTTACTTGATAGAGCAAGAATTGTGGTTTATATAGTAGTTCTAGGGACACATAGCATGGAAAGTAAGGTCAGACAGTCTTCATGGTTTTTTTTTTTTTTTTAAAGAACATTATTTATTTAGTTATATGAAAAACTTACATTTATTTATATGAAAAAGCTGAAAATTTGAGTATTCCAAAACCATTTAATCTTATCTTTATAAGCGCTTGATATAGTTAATGTCAATGAATCCACTTTAGAGTAAACTTGCATTTAACTTTATTTCAAGTCATCATAAAAGTTCAGACAACTGTCATTTGACCTACAGGTTGAGTGATTATCGTAGTGGGGATGTGGTTGAGTTAGTAAGCCTAAAGGAAGTAACTTCTGTTAAAGGAGATGTTAATGTCCATTTGCATCTTAATGTCAATCTTATTAGATGTTCCTAGACTACAAATTGGGTGAGTCATATCTCTTATCGTTTCAACTGGCATTTCTCAGAACAACTAGTGGCTCATATTCTAAATATTTAGAAGGCATTTATATAACATAAATGTTACACCTGGGCTTGTTAGACTCTTGGGCCCATGTATACAAAAGCAGCCATCCTAAACTTTTAGTATAATCTTTGTTTTTCTGCTACCATGTTAAACTTTGAAATAATCTGTTGTACTTGGCTGCCTCCCTTTATATTTTGATGGAGTAGTTGGATCTTCCAAATGATGTTTAGTATTTATCACATTTTTTAAATGTTCTGCCTTATTAGGTATTATGTTTTAAAAATATGTTTTGGAAATCTATTGAGACTTAGAGTTCTTCTTCTGAGTTCTTTAAAGTCTTGAATTATTAATGCTTTCTTCCATGAAAATCATACTTTAGAACATATGTACATCAGCTACCTAAATAATTTATGGTAAAGAGAAGCTTTGCTACCAGGCTCTACTACTACCCTTTAAAAAAGAGATATTTATTAGAACATTTTCTGACTTGCTAGATACTCCTTTTTATCACAAAAAGTATGACTTTTGAATTGGTTATATACCCTGTTTTTTATATTTATAGTTATATACCCTCTTTCTTATGTTTGTATACACACACACACACATATATATGTTTTATGTATAAAATTTGGTTTTTACTTTTGAAAAAAGAATCCAACATGTTTTTGGTGTGTGTTGAAAAAGATTCCAATTAATGGTTATTAGGGAGAAAGCTTGACATTGTGCTAAACATGTAACTTGAGTCTGTGAAAGAAATTTTCTTTTGCCAGGTATCTTTTTCTCTGAGTAAATTTATGTTTATTATGATAATAGTAAATTAGAAATGTGTGATTCTACTTGACATGTGGATTAGGCTAATTAAAAATTTTTTTTTTTCAAATTTCTAGGATAAAACGTTCTGTCAGCCACCCTGGTTCTTGCAGTTCAGAGAGGTAAAATAACCTTTTCTTTTGACTAAGTTCTCTCAGATTACACCCACCTAGGGAAGTTCTTTTGGCCTTTAATAAGTGGTGTGGAATGTAAACTTTATATGGGTTAGGTCTGGTTCTGAAACCAGCATATTAACTCTCAATATTTATCTCCTGGTATTTAGTATAAGGGCCTGGGCTCAGTAGATAGTTAGCAAACTAAAAATGATTTAATTAATTAACCAGCAACGTAAGCACCTTGCCAGCCATTTTACCTTTTTTAGATATTTGAAATACAGTCATATATTGAGTAATGACTATTCCATCAATGATATACTACATATATGACAGTGTCCTCATAAGATTATAATACTGTATTTTTCCGATTTTGTAATGATCGCCATTCTAACTGGTGTGAGATGGTATCTCAATGTGGTTTTGATTTGCATTTCTCTGATGACCAGTGATGATGAGCATTTTTTCATGTTTGTTGGCCTCCTGTATGTCTTCTTTTGTAAAGTATCTGTTCATATCCTTCGCCCATTTTTGAATGGGCTTGTTTGTTTTTTTCTTGTAGATCTGCTTTAGTTCTTTGTAAATTCTGGATATCAGCCCCTTGTCAGATGGGTAGACTGCAAAAATTTTTTCGCATTCTGTTGCTTGCCGATTCACTCTACTGACTGTTTCTTTTGCCGTGCAGAAGCTGTGGAGTTTGATTAGGTCCCATTTGTCTATTTTGGCTTTTGTTGCCATTGCTTTTGGCGTTTTGGTCTGGAGAGGATGTGGAGAAATAGGAACACTTTTACACTGTTGGTGGGAATGTAAATTAATTCAACCATTGTGGAAGACAGTGTGGCGATTCCTCAAGGACCTAAAAATAGAAATCCCATTTGACCCAGCAATCCCATTACTGGGTATATATCCAAAGGATTATAAATCATTCTACTACAAGGACACGTGCACACGAATGTTCATTGCAGCACTGTTTACAATAGCAAAGACCTGGAACCAACCCAGATGCCCAACGATGATAGACTGGATAGGGAAAATGTGGTACATATACACCATGGAATATTATGCAGCCATCAAAAACAATGAGTTCACGTCCTTTGTAGGGACATGGATGAACCTGGAAACCATCATTCTCAGCAAACTGACACAAGAGCAGAAAATCAAACACCGTATATTCTCGCTCATAGGCGGGTGTTGAACAATGAGAACACATGGACACAGGGAGGGGAGCACTACACACTGGGGTCCGTTGGGGGGAAATGGGGGAGGGGCGGGGGGATGGGGAGGTGGGAAGAGATAGCATGAGAGAAATGACAGATACAGGTGAGGGGACGGAAGGCAGCAAAGCACACTGCTATGTGTGTACCTATGCAACAATCTTGCATGTTCATCACATGTACCCCAAAACCTAAAATGCAATAAAAAACAAAACAAAACAAAACAAAACAAAACAAAACTGTATTTTTACTGTACTTTTTCCATGTTTAGGTATGTTTAGATACACAAATACTTACCATTGTGTTAAAATCACCCACAGCATTCAGTACAATAACATGTGGTACAAGTTTGTAGCCTCGATAAAATAAGCTATACCACATAGCCTACGTGCGTATGTAGTAGGCTATACTAGCTAGGTTTGCGTAAGTACACTCTGTGATGTTTGCACAGTGACAAAAGCACCTAGCAATGCACTTCTCAGAACTCATCCTTGTCATTAAGAGACACATGACTATATCAAGTGATGGTTAGACAGAACTACATTTTTGATGTATCAAGACTCCACAGCTGGGGCTCATTTTACCTCAGCTGTTTATAGCATCATCTATTCATGCTGAGCTGTTGTTTCATTAACAGAGAAAGATCTTGCTGAAAAGAGAAAATCACTTGATATTTTAAAGTACATATTCATATCAACACATTTAAAAAATTTACATTCTGGATAAATCTTACCAAAATGCTAAGTTGTTAAACTATTATTTTGTTAGGTTATAATCCTTTAAGTTGCTGTGGTTGTCTTATTTGGTTCTTTGGAAAATGATTTAATTATAGTGATAGTAGCATTTATTTCTCTACATTTGGACTGTTAAATGCTGGGTTCTTATTGTTTTGTCATGTTTTAATTTTTTTCCCTGATGATTATATAATCTTTGATTAAGCCATCAAGTACTCAGAGGAGTCCAACGATGTATATGTCCAACCTTGTTAGGGAATCTAGAGTCTTACCAAGTGAATTTTCTAGAAATATGAAGCTTAATCAACTTTTGACAAACTGTTATTTTTATGAAAGAAAATTTTCTATCCTTTCTACCTTATAAAATAATAATTTAAAAATTTTATTTTTTCCCTGATGAATCAGGGTTGTCATTAAGTACAGCAACATTGGGCTATTACAGAATAGTAGCTGAGGTGCTGTTAGGTGGTGGTGATTTGTTTCTCTAGGTTTAATTTTTTTAGACAGATTTTTAAAAAAGTTTCTCTAGGCTCCTTTTTGCCATCTTTCTCTTCTCTTGCTGTTGTCAATGTGTCTACCTCTCTAGTTCTATAAACTCTTTGCCCATCCGTTTCAGTCTGCTGATTTTGATTGGATACGAATAGAATTTAAGTACATGCACTTGTGAAATCTGTAACTTTTAGTTTTCAAACATTTGTAAACCGACTGATATGTCTGCTTGCTGGAGTCTCCCCTGTAGAAGTCACTACTTCGTTGTACCCCTCTTCCTTTTAGTTCGGCTCAGAAGCCATATTATCCAGGTTACCAGCTGTCTTCTGAATGGGTTCACTTGCCTTTGACTTCTGAGTAGAATGTTGCTAATACGGGATGTTGAGCCTAAAAATAATTCTTTTTTGACTTAAAGAGAAGTTATTTAAAATTTCAGTTCAGGGTGTTTTTGTTTATGTAAGACCTTACAATTTAATACTTTTTATTTAATTTTCAGGAGTAGCCACTCTATAAAAGAACCAGTATCTACACTTCACCGACTCTCCCAACGACGCAGAAGAACCTACTCAGATACAGACTCTTGTAATGATATTCCCCTTGAAGACCCAGATAGTAAGTGACACAGGTTCTGTGTCTTTCTTTGGCATATTCAGCAAAGTTACCGTGGGGCTCTGTAATTTCTGGAAATGAAGTATACTAAGATTGAACATTGTACTTTGTTTCTTTGATTAATTCCTTAATTGAGAGGTAAGCAAACAGTGTTCAATCAACTAAAGCTCATATATCCTCTTATAAACAACTTTGTTATTAACTAAGGAGTGCTGAGAATTGCTTTGTAAATATTGCATCTTAGATATATATTTATAGAATATCATGATCTTTTACCCCCACTATACTTGCACTATAAAAACATTTTAGAAGAAGGCATGAATTGTTAGCTGGATTCTAGGAGAAAATAAAGGCAAGTAACTTCAAATAAAAGTCAGCATTGTTATTTTACTAAAATACCTTGAGATGGCTAAGGAAAAGAATTTTGTCTGTTAGTGGTGGTGAATTATAGTAGCATTCATTCCCGTATCTTTTTCTTCTTTATTAAAGAGGCAGCATACTGTGATTGAATATTTTTAGGAAACGTTTTGTGATTTATGTTAAAATTTTTAAATTTTTCTCTTCAGAAAAGAAGCTTTGAAAGTGTGTCAGAGTATCTTGTTAGATAGTAGTCATGATAATTTGCAGTGAACACAAATATAGTCTTATTATTACATCTCCATTAATAGACTTCTACTCTCCAAGTCTTTACCATGTCTCATGAAATGTGTGGGATAGAAACTGTACAATTTCCAGTTGAACAACAGGTTGCGTTCCATTAGTTAGTTCATTTGTAAGTCAGTTGTTTGGAAAACAGATTTTATTTTTCTTGTGGAAATGACATGATAAGTGGTGGTTATGCTCTTTGGATAGCCTGGAAGAGCCCAGTGAATTCATAGTATGGCTGAAATGGGACAAAACAGTGGTGTATTATTTTTTATTATTATACTTTAAATTCTGGAGTACATGTGCAGAATGTGCAGGTTTGTTACTTAGGTATACACATGCCATCGGGGTTTGCTGTATCCATCAACCCATCATCTACATTAGGTATTTCTTCTAATGCTGTCCCTCCAACAACAATGGTATATTTCTAGCATTCAAGTGTATTGAAAACATTGATTAAGGTAGAGCTGTTGTATGTAACCAGAAAGTTAAACGGGTTTAGTTCACACACATGGCAATTTTAAAAAGGATTGCTGTTCATTTTTGGATTTTTAGGATTTGATGGCATTTATTTTTAAGCCCACTTTTTTTTTTTAACTGAACTAATAATCTATTTATCGATATATGGCACTATTCTATGCTCATTACCATTTTGAATTTAAATTGAGATATGGGTAGAGAAATGAAGGAAACAGGGAAGGGAAAGGGAGAAAGAAACTTTCTTGGATCAATTGAACACGATCTGGAAGAGAAAAGGAGAAGAGGAAGAAGGTTAAAGAGGTTGAGTGTGTAAAAAAAGTGTTATTTGAAGAAGGTTATAGAGGTTGAGTATGTAAAAAAAGTGTTATCTGAGGCAGATAAGATACATTCTGATTCTCCTTATTCTTTATGCCTTTTACAAATGACTCTTAATCCAGAGTTCATGGAGTTCTGTTGCTGCCTTATGCTTTTCTTTAAGTGCTACATCTTTTTTTTTTTTTTTTTTAAAGGGGATCATTTGTGATTGCTAAAATAATTTTTTTTAAAGCCATCCATTTTTCTTTAGAATTCTTTTCTTCTCTTTATGCTAGTACTGAATATTTGAAAACAATTTTCAAAACATTTAAGTGTACATGCCCTATTATATTTAGCATTCCCCAGTTTAGCTGTTGTGGACTGTAACAAAACTAGTCACACACACACACACACAGGCATGCACGCACACACACACGCACTCTCTCTCTCTCTCTCTCTCTCTCTCTCCACTTCTTTAGAACATTTTTAAATTGGCAAGTATAGGCTAGGTCCGAAATTTTATCCTTAGATTTCTTCCTGTTTATAATAAAGTTTAGTGTTTCAATTAGCTGACAAAACAAGGATTGAATTAATGCTCCTTCTAGAAAGTATGTATTTTGCAATTGGCAGTCTTAGTTGAAAGTTGTTACTCAAAAATGTTTTCGTGAGATGTAACTTCTTTTTTTTTAAAACAAGCTTTTTCAAAAATTATGAAAGTAATAAATGATGATGGTAAACTCAAGCAATATTTATAAAGGTTCAAATGCCTTAGAACAGGACTATGTAGTCAGGTGTGTTAACTTGGAGTTGCAGTGATAGTTCTGTGAGTTGCATTACAAATGGAGAAATGGGAACTTTGAGTATGAAGTACCTTATTGGCTTTGCTCAGAAAGTCTCAGAACAAAAAGAAGACCTGAATTTAGTCCTCATTCTGTTACCAATTGTGTGATCTTGGGTAAGGCACGTATCCTTTTACGGGTCTTGGTTAGTTTGCCTAGAACCAAGGAGGATATTAACGGCATTAAAACAGGCTGGAAAAGCGATAGTTAATTAAGAAAGATTAAATTCAATTCAGCAAATATTTATTGACTGCCTATTACGTGACAACCATGATTCTAGCAATGAACAAAACAAAAACTCTACTTCGGGCAGTTTTCATCATTTATCTCATGAATTCTGATGTTTCTCCTTGTGGCTCTAGTCAAAAAGTTAAGTTTTCCTCTATGAAACAAACAAGGAAATAAAAAATTAGCAGGAAGTTAAAGGAATTTCATGTGCCCGAATAGGAAATTTAAAATGTTTGTTTTTTTTTTCACAGAGAACTGGAGTTAATATTGACAGGATGTTTACCTTTTTAACCAATTTCTTCATAGGACCTGTTCACTGTTCAAAAAATACACTTAATGGAGATTTGGCATCAGCAACCATTCCTGAAGAAAGCAGACTTATGGCCAAAAAGAAATCTGAATCAGAAGATACTCTTCCATCCTTTTCTTCCTGAAAAAACTGAAGTGTCCAACTTCCTCTAAGTATTGCTATGCAAAAGCTGCTGTAATTAAACTGTTGTTACAGGGAATAGTTTTTTCCCTTAAAGACTTCTCTGCACTTTATAGAATATTATAAACAAACAAACAAGAAAGCAACCCACATACTTTTCAAGTGTATTTTATCTTTATATAGTTTGTTTGCAAGAGTATTTTCCTAATAACTTCACAGTATGAATGTGTATCTTTTTTTTTTTTTTTTTTTTTTTTTTTAAAACAAACGATGGTGTAACACAGGCGTCCCCAAACTTTTTACACAGGGGGCCAGTTCACTGTCCCTCAGACCATTGGAGGGCCGCCACATACTGTGCTCCTCTCACTGACCACCAATGAAAGAGGTGCCCCTTCCTGAAGTGCGGCAGGGGGCCGGATAAATGGCCTCAGGGGGCCGCATGAGGCCCGCAGGCCGTAGTTTGGGGACGCCTGGTGTAACATTTTGACATCCATAAGGACAAATGTGGATATCTTTCTAAACAACTGTGAGGGGACTGACAGCTTGGTCAGGGTGTATTGTAGCTTGTAAACATGAAATCTTAGAAGATTTCAGTTTGACAAAGTGTGATATATGGAACTTGTGCCATGGACCAAATGGTCACTTTACCACAGCTAAAAATGAGTTATGATAGCAGCTTGATGATGATTGTTTTGGATTCCTTTAATCAAAAAGGAAACATTTATTTCTATTTAGAATATTCCAAGTATCTTTAGCCCAAATGCCATAACATACTCAGTATTTTTAAATAACAAGACTGTATTGTCCTTCATATGTGAAGTTGACACTACTGATTTGTCAATACCAAATGTTGGGTTAAAGTATTTACTTTTTATTTATTTATTTTCTTGTTGCCTCAAAAGATGATTGCATCCTAACTTTTGTGACTTACCAAATTTAAGATGTGTATACATTGTTTTCTATGTTGTTCTAGAAAAGACATTTTAATGCTATAGTGACTTTGCTCACTTAAACCAGAGAAACGACTTGCAGTGGAAGAGGATTTTAGTGCTTTTTTTTCCCCTAAAATAGACATTAAGCTGCTGTTGTAAAGTATTGTTTGAAGCTCTTTCCAATATCTAGAGACATTTTTATTTATGAATATTTATACAAAAAAGGAATTCTGTCAAGATATCTGCTCTATATCACTTGAGAATGGCATTATTTAATTAAAGAACAAACAGCATTTTTTTGGTAGTGCCTGTCCATACCTATTGTCAGTGTTTGCCTTGTAATATGTTTTTTGAATTCACCTTGGGCTGATAGTTTTGTTTAAGATTTTGGATAAGGAGCACTTTAAAACAAACTGGTATGTTGTTTTTAAGTTAATCATAAATTTAATAAATGTGTGGTTTTTGCATTCAAACATATATAATACATTGTATTTTTTACATTCATTGGTATTCTGTCAATCTTTATTAAGTGCTAATATAATTATTATTGATTTGAGTTTGTTTTTGTATATTTAGGCCTGCTGGTGAAGACACAAATGAAGCATACTTTTAGTTTTAGTTGCCTGTGAACTTAGAATGGTGTGGCCTATTTCATTTCATTTTAATTTCTCTTGTAAGTTTTTGTGGGATTAAAAAAAATAATATTGGTATTTATTTAAAAAACTGTAATTATAGGCCTTCCATCTTAAGTTTAAAATGGACATAAACAATCTGTTTATTAATATGTGTTTGGATAAACTGTATGCTACTTAAAGTGTTTGTAATTTTAAATAGCACACAGGTCATCAGACTAGTCAATATTCAGTGGAGTCTTTTCCTGCTTATAAGTTGTATTTCATATGTCTAATTTGAAAAAACGTAGTTTGATAATATAGTAAATTTTGACATTGAGCAGGTAATCAAGTTTTTCCTGTTTTTTTGTTTGTTTTGTTTTGTAGTAAGAACTTGGACAGTAATAAGGTTAGGGTGCTACTGATTGGCAGTTTTTTCTGGTAGTTTTTTGAATAATAGGTTTATAGTGAAAACACCATAGCAAGCTTTTGAACTTAGAAAAAATAATCACATCCATTTTCTGTTGCTTTACCCAAATAGGTGGGTTTGTGAAGGGTTTTCTGTAAATATTTTTTAAATAAAATGCAATTATATTTGGTTCGTATCATTTTTTTCCCCCTTGAAACAGGTCCTTTAACAGGTTTGTGGTATCCCTATGTATGTCTTTTGTTATGACTTAGAGCCAATTTTTGTTCTTATTGTTAGGAACCAAACACATTTGTGAAATCATTTTTCTGAGGGAGTATAAATATATCTTGAATTATATTCAGGTTTTGATCAGTGAATTATTAGCATGAGGAAACCTATAAAACTTAAGGGAAAAAAAGTCAGTTGTGCCTGACTTTTCTGAATTTTAAGAAAAAGATGAACCAAATAACAATTCTATAAGAATTTTAGCTTGTCAAGTTGTTCTATACTTCATAGAAAAATTATTATTAATTATTAGTTGTTTTGCTTTGTCATGTCAAGTTATTAAATTTCTTAATAACTTCTCATGTATCTTAATAACCCCATTAGGTCATGAAGTTATTTAGAAACATGAGAAGTTATTAAGAAATTTGGAGGTTCTCTTGGCAGCGTATCAGTGATCTTCTAGGCAAAACCCATGATTGTTTTTCATTTCAAGTGCTTGGTCACTATTCTATGGGAATTGCAGGCCTCCATGAATAAAGGGATTTGATACAATTCTTTTATAAATGAGCTGAATTTGAATTTTGTTACATCCTATGGGATTATTGCATTATCTTCAGTCAGGACAAGTCCAGAAATGGATGCTATTGCTTAAACTTAAATTCCAAGGCAGGAGCTAGAATATCTTCATTTCCACAGATGCCCTGGAACCTCTGACCTTGAATTGTAGTTTTTCAGTATTCATTATCACATGTAGAAATTTAAAAATCACAAGATCTTGGGAAATGTATTCTTTGTAATATTAATATTAGACTGCTGTTATACCATTAATTTGGATTCTGCTAGTTGTTTTATTTAATAAGGTACCTCTAGGTCTGTCCTTTGAGTCTTGCTCTTGCTACTTGGTGCAGAGGGAGTGTCCTGGCCTGCAAAAAAGCCAGAGTAGGCTGCAGGAGCTTCTTTGAAGAGGCCTCTCTTTTAATAACCCTGGTGGGTAAATGAATGGTAGACAGGCCTTCCTATTCATGGCTTTCTGTCTCCCCAGTCCTCTCTTGGAATTCATGCTGCATTTTTAAGTTGAAATTTGGGTTTTTTTTCTTTTTGTTTTTAATTTTTGCTTTCTTTTTACTAAGCTAATTAATGTACGTAGTTTAAAAAATCAAATAGAACTAAAAGGTTTATAGTGAAAAACTGTAGTTCCCCCTTCCCCAATTTACACTCCAGAGACAAACACTTGGAACTCTTAGTGGTTTGTGTTAGTATTTACCTTCCTGTTTGAAAAAGTTCTACTTTTTCTTGACTTACCAATTTCAGAAACAGTTTCTCAAATGCTTTTTATGGTAGGTAGGATTTACTTTACTTAAAATCTCTCCCCATTTTTCTTCTCCCACCCCTCCCAAAATAGATTTATATTCACACAACTTTTTGTTAGAACAAACTTTTTGTTAAATAGATAGACATAAATGTTGTTCACTGATGTACCACATGAAAAACTATCATTATTTCATTTTTACTAGAATGTTATTTTTCCCAAGGTTGGTATTACCTGATTTTCAAATTTGCTTAGTTTTTAATGTACCTGTCACAAAGACTATCCAAGGCTTCAGTGCTGAAAAAATCAGATAATCTATCAATTCCCTTTACTTAAAAAAGTTTTCAAAATCATTTTGTCATCCTTTAGGGACATTTCTTCCACAATCCTTCATCTTCTGCCATTTGTACTGTTGCCCTCCAGGCCTGTTCCATGGTTCAGCAGTTGTTCTGAAACTCCCTTTGTTTTTTAGTCTCGCATTAGATCTTCTGTTGTGGATCTTGTGACTTCTTTCTTTCTTGATTTACTGCCTTTTTTTTTTTTTTTTTTTCAAAGCTCATCAGCTAGTAATTTCCTAAGAAAAGGTGCATGGAAAGTAAAGATTTTAAGGCTTTACAGGTCTCAAAACGTCTCTACTCTTGATTGGTAGTTTGGAGTCTGGAAAATAACATTCCCTCAGAATTTTAAAGACAACACTTCATTGTCTTAATGACATTTAGTTTTTCTGTGAGAATTCTGATACCGTTCATTTACTTGGGATTTGTTTTTACACTCCGTAAGCTTTTAGGAACTTCTCATTAATTCTGATGTTTCATAATGATACGGGTCTTTATTCATTCATCTTTATAGGTACTTGACTTGGTGGAATCTTTCAATTTAGAAATTTGTTTGCATCAGTACTGGTTGTTTTGGTGTGTGTATTATCTTTCTGACAATTTTCTCTCTTCCATTTTCTTTGCTCTATCTTTCTAGAATTTCTTTTATTTGAATGTTGAACCTCCCAGAGTTGGACCTCCTCTAAGTAAAAAAAGCTTTTTCTCTCTAGTTGTGTCTTAAGGTATATTATCTTTATCTTTTTTGTTATCCTCCAGCTCTTTGTTGGATTTTCTTTATATATATTTTAGTTTCTAAGAAACTGTTTTCTGTTTTATTTCATAAAAACCTATTTTTATTTTACAGATTAAATGTTTCCCCATATCTTCCTGAGGATAAAATTAAGATTTTTTTCTTACGTCTTTCCTGTTTCTTGCATGGTTTTCCCCCTCTCTCACCATGATTCTGTTTTCTATTTATTTGTTTTGGGCTCTTTCATTCTGAAGCCTTTCTTAGATAGAGATTATCTATTTATATTAGTCATGTGTTAAAAAGCTAATGTCGTAGGTCTTTATGTGTGGGCAGGGTTTATAAGTTGTTTTAAGGGCCATCAGGTAGAGAGTTGGCCCTTTCTGTTGGGGTCCCCTAAATTTCAGTGGAGATCTTCTCTTGGGGGCCATTCAGTTTCTCTAGAAAACTAGGTCCTGGTAGTAGGGTAAGAAAAGAGAGCTCATTACCCCAAGGTTTATATGATGGCTTTTACTTAATCCTTCTATCTTCAGCTAGTCTCATGCCCACCCTGTTCTACTCCCCAAGTCCTCCTCTGGCTGCTGACCCTCAGGTTAAGTTTTTCCTGTCAGTAGAGGTTGGGGATTGGGGGTTGGCAGGCTGTGGAGAGTGGGGGAGAGGACGTGGGGTCCAGTTG